GGAATGAACCCATCACTGGGAAACATCCACACACACTCATACACTATGGACAATTTAGCTTACCCAATTCACCCATGTCTTTGGATTTGTGGGGGGAAACCGGAGCACCCGGAGGAAACCCAGGCCAACACGGAGAGAACATGCAAACTCTACACAGAAATGCCAACTGAACCAGCTGGGGCTCGAACCAGCGACCTTCTTGCTATGAGGCAATTGTGCAACCCACTATGCCACCGCGCTGCCCAATTTCAGAAGATGCAAGATATTAATACAGTAAATATTTAGCAGTCATACATCCTACAAACTCTGTTAAGGCCTATTCAATGACTTCACACAGTCGCTTCCCAGAAACATCTCCCTCCCTTTTTGACCCATAAGCAAATGTCACATGACCTAGGCTATTTATAGCCCCCTGTGGGCCAGCAGACAGGCAGCAACCTCATCAGTACTGTACATCACACAAGATGATGATGCTGTGTGTTTAGTTCAGAATAGCCTGATGTATGCTAAATATTTCATGCAAGTCTCGAGAGAATAAACTGGGGCAATAAATAACAGACTGCGTACTGTTTAATTAGCCTTTCTGTCACACTAAAGCTTGTGTTCAAAAGAGCTTTCAGATAATTCAATGTCCCTTTATGTACTTAGGCAGATCTTTGGAAATCAGTTCCAGATCACAAGGCGTCCACTTTAGTGTACATGCTGATAGCACAACGGCTGAAGTGGAGCAAATGAAAGCGGGATGTTTGTTCAATATCGGGTTCATTATCAACACTTGTTTCACAGCGTGCCTGTGTCTGGCCTAAAATAGATGCCTGATTGTGAAGCATATGTTGTCTGGGAGCAGTTTGGTCTAATATAGGTGGTGTCGGTGAATATGTGGTGACAACTGAAGTGCTTCTGCTGTATGTAATTGACAAGCTTGGTATGTTGTGTCATGAGTGTATAGAGGAAAAGACCTTATGATTTTAAAATATAGCTAATTTTATTTTTGTTCAATGCAAGCAAATTCATTTGAGTTTAGTCAAACGAAATTGTACAACTTTAAAAAGGAGGCATGCCCCACCCCTAAATCCAGCTGTCATTGGGGGATAAGCAAATCATACTAAATTGTACAAATGAGATTGTACAAATTTATACGAATTAGTCACTAAATCAAAAAGTAACAAATTGCCATGAGATTACGTTGGATTGATCTATTTTATTCATGATTTATATGTAAAGATTTATTGACTGTATATACTGTATATTGACTATTTATAAGACCTGTGAAGAGATGATGCCAACCATCAAAGACTTCGAGAACAACACATACACTTAATATACAAATACACTTCACCGAACATGTACACAGTGACATCACCTATACACTATACTTGCATGATAACTATGCTTGTATATAATATTATTAACTTTAAAAACCTATTATTTAATTGTTAATTAGTTATTAGTAATACGTTAGTCATTAGCAACTAATAAAGTTGTATGGTAACTAATAACTTTTATAATAACTAATAACGTTTTGATAATACAATAATGTGCACCTTCTGTAAAGCTGCTTTGAAACATTAACTGTTGTGAAAAGCACTTTACAAATAAGCTTGAATTGGAAATATAATTTAATGTCCCATAATTAATTTATTTTGAAAACCTGAGTCTGTATTCATTTATCAAGGCTGGATCTATTTGATAAATGTTACAGTGGATTTTAGGTATAGTAATTTTAAATCGTTTTCTGTCATTAAAAAACAGTTTTATATTTCACAATTTCAAAGCTGAACTTGATCCTTCAGAAATCAGAGTTTTGTACTTAAAAAACATTTCTTGCATTGAAAACAGTTGGGCTGGTTAGTAATTGTGTACAAACCTAGATGCTTTTTGCACAAAATTATGAACAACCACAACTATTTAAAAGAAATGTTTTTTTTAGGATTCCATGAAAAAACAACTTATTGCAATGTTTAAAAATAAGTTTAGTTTCTTATTAAGGAAATAGTTTTCTTATCTAATTAAATTAGGTTTAGTTTAAAATTTCTACTAGGTGTAACGGATCACAGCTGATGCTGGATTCGTATGGATCACAACCCATGATTTGGATCACACAACCTTCAGATTAAAACTTCTTTTTTGCTTTTAATCCTAAATTTGTACTGATCGCAGAGAGATCGACTCTCACTTCATTTAAATCACACGTATGCAAGCATTTAGGCTTTCCTGTAATATTTAATGATGATGGAAGAAGTTGTGGTAGGTTATTCGGGAAGTGGTGGGTTTCTTAGGTTATTAAAGATGTTTTCTGTCACCACTTGTTTAGCCTGCATTAAAGGTAAGCTGCATGATTAATCATTAAAAGATCAGGATCTCAACACCCACACAACATAAATTATAAATGATGGTGATTTGCATGTTTATTAATCCCTTGATTCGCTGCATTTGAATCTGTATTTGAAAAACGCAAAAATCAAGAAAGAGATTTAGTCTTTAGTCTTTTGAGTTAGTTATGAAACAGTCAAATAACACAGAAGTACTGGGATAACAGTTAATAGTTAATATTAAATCACTGATGTTTATGGTACAGATTAAAATCACTATCATATGCATTTAACTTGGTGCTCTAAAAATGAAAGTTGTTGGCAGCAATTACATTATTTAACTAATAAATGGCGACAACCAGCCATCAAAATATGCCACTGAATAATTCTAATAAAATTACATATCTTGTAATAAAACATGATGTTTTATGAGTGAATAACTGAATCATTTATTGAAAATGAGACTAAAAATAAATATGGGTTGTACGAATTATAATGTTAGATTTCCACATTTAGCGTTATCAGCAACAGTAGCAATAACAGTGAATTTTTCACAGTACTGAATAATTTACAATTTATATTTATTCAGCTGATTATTTCTTCATTTTATTTATAATAAAATTACAGTTTCTAAGTTCTGCTTGTTAAAACCAAAAGTGTCTTGCAGTACTGTTTTTGTTACAAATGGAAAGCAAATTGTCTTTTTGGCTGATTCGAAAAATTGTCTGATCCATGACTAAAAAACCATAATGTGATCCGAACCGTGAAATTTGCCATCTGTTACACCACTAATTCGTAGACACCCCAAACTTGAATGTTTTATCTTTTACATTTTCATAATGTATTATTAAACAGATCATTAAACTGGTATAGGTACGTAGATTACCATATTTGGAATTGTTTGTACTTCTCATCCTTTCTTAGAATAATTAAAAGATCACCCTGTTTAGATTGTTTGACAGTAGAGACTGTTTCTCTCCTCCAGTTTGCTGTTTCGTAATGTTAATAAATACTAAACCACAGCTACTTCAAGTTAATTGTGATGGATGAATGGTGAATATTGATCCTTTCTTAAACACAGCTGCTGCCTTGAATGAACACCATTTTTTTCTCTGTGGAATGTCTTGTGGTCCGTGAAAAGACTCACAATGCTACCGTCTCATTTCTGAATGACTCATGTCTAAACCATTCCAAACATCATCATGTCCCACCCCAAAAGTGGGCGTTCAGTTCAGCTGACATGCTCACTCTCTTTTAGGCCCTCGCCACATTAAGAGCTGGCGAGTGTTTATATGCGAGGGCCGGTAGTATGACTGATCCAGTCAGGCTGTGTCCACGATTGGCACTGTCACTCCAACAGCCTTAGTCACACCACTTCCTTTTCCTGCATCCAGCATATTGTCCATCACCGCAAAAGGAAACTCCCAACCGCTGAATTTTTATAGTCAAGTTCATTGGATGTATTATGCAGTCAAATGTGCATTTCCATTATATATTTGGAATGTGAAAATAAAATAGTGAGGGAAGCTGTGTCCAAGAAGTCACAGGGTAAAATTTAACTACTGCTTTACTAGGATCTATTGGGATATTGAGGATAACAAGATGATTTTTCCAAAATTCGATGACATCTCAAAGACGCATTTATTGAAGTCAGCAATTACACTGGCACATTCACTTGCAAACAGTTGAAAGAACTTTAAGGGATAGTTCACTCAAAACTGATGCCTTGAACACTATAGAATATATTTTAAAGAGATAAATCTGTAAAACCTGTAATCAATGGCTTCCATAGTAAAAAATAATAATAATACTGTGGAAGTTGATGGTTTTAGGTTTCTAGTTTTATTTCTCCTAAAGGTTTGGAACCACTTGAAGGTAAATAAATCCTGAGTAAGTTTTCATTTTTGGGTGAACTGTCCCTTTAAAATACTATGCCATTTTCGGTTGTACAGAAAAAAGTGAGACCTAATCATTTGCAAAGGTAAAGGTTTTACTTTAGTATATACTCATGATAATCACAAGATGTGCTTTTGTAAAATAAAGATGACAAGCAATTTGCACTTTCTGCTGCCTCTTCTTTTCGGAATGGAATTTTATGACAAGAGCAGACATGAATTGTGTGTTTTCCCCGGGCAGTCTGGGTGCCTGGTCTTTACGTTTTCAGGTCCAATCGTAGTGCTGACATTTTTGACATCTACCAACCACACAGTGTTGTAGTATATTAGTGGACCTAATATACTACAACACTTTGTGGTTAGTGGATGTGAAAAATGTCAGCACTACGATTGGTCAAAGTAAATTCTTTGGATACTGAAAAATAGACATTGTGCTTTATATGTAGTTATTGTCAGATGTTAACGAAATATTTCAATTAAAGTGAAAAAAGAGATTTAGTCTTACATAACCTATTGAAGTCTATTGAAACATGTAAATTACATTCTTTGCATTATATAATCTGTTAATCTGCATTTGTCCAGTTAGTTAAGCTATTGCTGCAAATAGTAAAATAAAGACATTAACTCTGGGTTTATGAATTTATAGATTGAATTAGCACTTCATGATCATGCAGTATTAGTTGTTATCGCTTAGCAGTACGATAATGTGAATGGTATGAGCAAGAAAACCCAGGATCATTTGACCTGGTGTTCATTCTGGGGTCATTTTTAACTGTTTGTTTTGTTTCTCTAGACATTATGGTGTACCACCCTGAGTTTGAGCGAGCGGGCAAGGAGCCCGGCCTCCAGGTGTGGAGAATTGAGAAGTTTGATTTGGTTGCAGTTCCTGAGAATCTCTATGGAGGGTTCTACACCGGCGATGCTTATCTTGTCCTCAAAACTACCAAGCAAACCTCTGGCAACTTACAGTATGACCTCCACTTTTGGCTGGGTAAAAGAACAGTGCCTTGTTAAGGAGAAATTCAGAATTCTGCACATTTATTTTACTGCCATTCATACTAATTTCCAGCTAGAGGGTTGAGATGTTAAATGCTTCACCTTCTGTATACTGCAGGTGACTACTGCACGCAAGATGAGAGTGGGTCGGCAGCCATTTTTACAGTGCAAATGGATGACTATTTGGGTGGAAAGCCTATTCAGTACCGTGAAGTTCAAGGCCATGAGTCTAAAGCTTTCCTGGGATATTTTAAGAAAGGACTGCAGTACATGGTGAGTAATTCATTCGTTTGCAGGACAAATAGAAAGTAACTCTGAAATTTGAAAAAGATAACAAATAAAATTGTCCACAATGTAAAACAGTAGAACTCATGGCAAAATATGTTTATGTTTGTTTAAATAAAAAAAGTGTAACCATTTTTCCATCTATTTTTTTAGGGTTTATGATTCAGCTTGATATTTTACTCTGAATATTTCCTCTATTTTACTTCACTATTTATTCCTTCTCCTGTGGTTTCAAACCATTATGAATTTCTTTCTTCTGTTGATCATAAAAGAAGATATTTAAAAAAGATGAAAACTTGTAAGCTTTGACATTCATTGTAGGAAAAGCAAATACAATGGAAGTCCGTTGTTGCAGGTTTTCAGCTTTTTAAAAAAAACTGAAGAAAGTCAAACAGGTTTGGAACAAGTAAAGGACAAGTAAATGATAACAGAATTTTCAGTTTTGGTTGAACTAATGCTTCAAGTCACTTCAACTTACATCACGTTGAACTGACTTAAAGTAAATATTTAAGGCGGCAAAATGTTTTTGGTTTGTCTACTTGGAGGTTGAAAATGGATTAATCAGGATTCCTTTTGCAGTTTTGACATTGTGCTCAGAATTGTTCAAATAGCCACAAAAGATGACCTACTGACCTATTGATGTACTGCTTAAGTCAGCTGACCCGTCAAATGTTGCCATTTGAAATTATAAGTTAGTTTGAAGGTGAACTAAGCATGGGCTGGTATAAGATTCTGACGGCATGATAACTTTGGAAAAAAAACGGTTTCGTGGTATTGTAATTACTGCTCCCGAATATATTCTTTTTAAACTTTTGGGTAAAAAACATTAGCTTTTTTCCCCTTCGTACACTGTATATATATATATATATATATATATATATATATATATATATTATTTTGAGTAACTTTTAATATATTTTGAAACAGTAAACATCAGCACAAATAACTCAAATAAATCCTTAACCTCTGCTGTCTTCATTTTTTTAAAAACACAGATTTTTTTACAATTTAAAACAGCATCTTTCGATATCTTTTCTGCTGGATCTTTTCTACTGTTGTCCAAAAAAAAAAAAAAGCATAAATGAAAAATCGTACACAAACCTTAAAAACGGTATAGCTGAAAATTATGATGGTTTTAAAACCTTGACTATTCCAAACCGTGGTATACCTTGAAAACTGTTATCATCCCATGCCTAAGGTGAACAAATGTAAAAAGTCTAAATGTTCTTTTAGCAGTCCTGATTCAAAGCCAAAGCATGTACAGTCATTTTTTTGGCTATCAGAGAAAAGAAATAAAAGCTGCTGCTCACTATATTGTTTTACATGGTCTCCTTTTGTGTTCAATATAAATTGTGCATTAAAAAAGCACAGAAAAAGCTCTTTCATACGCTCAACTATAGAGACCTATATGAGAACTTGAAGAGATGATGCCAACCATCTTAGATCTTCAAGGACAAAAACACTAAATACCCAAATACACATCAATAAACATTTATTATACACTTAGACCTCACCATTTTGAATGACACTATATACTGTATAATTGCAGGTTGACTATGCTTATACAGTCCACACTATACACAACTCTTGACATTTTCAGATTTTGACAAATGTCGTAATAATCTGCACCTTTTGTAAAGCTGCTTTCGAATGATATTTATTGTGAAAGGTGCAATAGAAGTAAACTTGACTTTAATATTAAATTGTTAGACCCTCTGCTCAGAGATATCAGGAAAGTGGACAAAAAAAAAACTGATTTAAACATTTAGTTTAGGGTATCCAAAAATCTTAGTTGCAGCTGTGAATGAAAAGTAATCAATGAAATGGTTTATTTTTTTAATTATAGCATTATCTGTTGTTTTTCAGCAAGGTGGAGTTGCATCTGGATTCAAGCATGTGGTCACCAATGAAGTTGTAATGCAGCGAGTGCTACAAGTCAAAGGTCGGCGAGTTGTCAGAGCTACAGAAGTGCCAGTCAGCTGGGACAGCTTTAACCAGGGAGACTGCTTCATTCTGGACTTGGGCAATGTGTGTATAATGTGTAAAGGCTGTGAAAGAGATCTAAAAAGGTCCAAATCTCCAAAATAATCTCGTTTGCTCTGGCTGTTTTTAAAGGAAATCTACCAGTGGTGTGGTTCCAAGAGTAACCGCTTTGAGAAGCTGAAAGCTACTCAGCTTGCAAAAGGCATTCGAGACAACGAACGCAGTGGACGTGCCCGTGTGTATGTTTGTGATGAAGGTGTGGAACGTGAGAAAATGTTGGAGGTAAAAACACCAGAAATCAATAGTGTTCAACATCAGCTAAGGAATATACTGAAAACATGGTTTATCTTTGTGATGGCAGGTTCTAGGAGAAAAACCAGACTTGCCTGAAGGAGCATCTGATGATGTCAAGGCTGATGCCTCCAACAGAAAAATGGCCAAACTCTACAAGGTACCCACTGGAGCTTAATCAGACTAATGTGATAAATGTATTATGCTCGCATTCAATGCATTACATAAAAAAATGTTTCTAAATGTATAAAGGAAAAGTAATGATAGTGAATGTCAACCCTGTTTATTTATTTATTTAAATGTTCTTGCTGTTTGAGTTTGTGCACCACTGTAGTATATTATATTTACCTCAGTATGTTTACCTAAAAGAATCAATCACATGGATTGGGTAGAGTAGATGGTAGATATTTGATAGGCCAGTAGGAGTAAACTGAGGTGTTGAAATAGTCATGGGCATAGACCATTTTTTTTTTATTACTTCATTTTTTTAGAGTGTAACAAATTACAGTGAATGGCCCGAGCATTCATGTTTCTTGCTACGTTGTACAATAAATTTCCTGTTGTTTTCACAAAACCCTTGTATACCCCTAGAACACTTGGTACAGTACACAGTGCTTCCCACATATAAGCTTTACTTAACCGACCCGCCCAAATATTTTAACGGCCGCCCAAGTATATTTTGGGTTGACACATGAATAATACTTTTATTATCATCCTTTTAACCTTTTTTTTTATCTGCCCAAGAAAGCTAAACAATCCCGATCGATTGACCAGTGGAAAATCTTCTCTCGCTCTGTATGTTTCCTACTGCTGGTTCTGTGTGTGAGCGAGAATAATCAACACTCACACAATCTCACATGCTCTGCAGACCCACAAAGACGCATCTTATGTGCCAAAATGCATTCGTAGTTTCTGAATCTCCTAAAATGTCTGGGATTGGGCTTTTGCTTTCTAAACTTGCTGTTATTTGTATGCGCTTTTGCATGACTTTTTTACAGCTGACTGTGCATGCACATCTGCGAGAGAAACATTAAATGATTAGTTATTTAATAAACGACTTGCGTAAACTTTACTATATACTCAGAGAGGACAAAATTACGTCTATACTGGCTGTAAAATATGTGTACACCATTAGAAATGGGCAATCAACAAATTTGCTTTATTTAAATAATCTAAATTTTTATTCTTGTAATTATATTTTAACAATATTGTCTGTTTTCATTCCTTTTTTTTCTGTCATTTATTGCTCATTTGCTGTATATTTTATTAATTTAATAATGTTAATATATTACATACCTTACATGTACAGTTGAAGTCAGAAATATTAGCCCCTTTGATTTTTTTCTTCTCTTAAATATTTCCCAAATTATATTTTAAAAAAGCAAGTAAATTTTCACAGTATGTCTGATAATATTTTTTCTTCTGGAGAAAGTCTTATTTGTTTTATTTCGGCTTGAATAAAAGTTTATAATTTTTAAAAGCCATGTTAAGGTCAAAATTATTAGACCCTTTAAGCTTATTTCGAAATAGTAAAAAAAAAAATAATAATAATAATATATATATACACACACATACACACACACACACACCCACACACACACAAACACACACACACACACATGTAGGTAACTATTCTGTGCCATGGGTGTGTTTCAATCGGGCTGCCACCACAAGTATATTTCAAACCTGTGTGAAGCACTGGCACATATTGCACATTTTACATCCATGTTCTATCCTACGGTGGTATTTTTCATTTTTCCTTTTTTTTTTTTTACTATTTAGATTTTTTTTAAGCTCATTGGTTACTTTATTGTCATTATGGATAAAATACAACAAAACTGTAGAGATTTTATTTAAGGTGACACACAAATACACATTTTTACATGGTATTAAATGATAAATAGACTACAAGAATAATGAGAATATGATACTGTAGAAGCTATTTGTTGTATAATTTTATTAAATAGAAAGTAATTGTTTGTGAATAATGTCTTGTGTATTTACTACCATTATATGGATGATCAAGCAGGACTTTTTGGTATAAGAATTAGTGAAGGGCATATAACATTTAAGAAACTATGAAGCAGGTTTAATTATTGTTGTGAAATGTACTTTTAAGGTCTCTGATGCCAGTGGAGACATGGCGATTGCCCTGGTGGCCGCTGAAAATCCTTTTACCCAGAGTGCACTAGAATCAAGTGACTGTTTTATCCTGGATCATGGCTCAGATGGCAAGATCTTTGTTTGGAAAGGTAAATTCCATTGACCAATACAAACATAAACCTTTTAAAAAAATTTTTTGATTTTTTTTGAAACTCCATTGTTTATCTACAGGCAAAGATGCCAATATGGAAGAGAGAAAGGCCGCCATGAAGGCAGCAGATGAGTTCATCAAAAAAATGGGCTACCCCAAACACACACAGGTTCAGATTCTCCCAGAAATGGGCGAAACACCCCTTTTCAAGCAGTTCTTCAAAAACTGGCGTGATGTGGACCAGACAGAGGGCATGGGTGTAGCATATGTCTCAAACAGCATCGCTAAGATCGAGAAGGTGCCGTTTGATGCTTCAACTCTGCACGATTCACCAGCAATGGCCGCCCAACATGGAATGATAGACAGCGGCAATGGAGAAAAACAGGTTAGCAAGTAAAGCACACACACACTGCATGTGACTGCAAAGTTATGTATACACATGCAATGAGGGTATTAATTTGTCACCCGACACTTTAGATCTGGCGTATTGAAGGATCAGACAAAGTTCCAGTTGACCCATCTACTTACGGCCAGTTTTATGGTGGAGACAGTTACATTATCCTGTACAGTTACCGCCATGGTGGCAGACAGGGTCACATTATCTACATCTGGTACATCTTAGCTACATCTTCCATTTAACTATTTAGTTGTTCTTTGGTTGTTTTTTTACTGTTGACATACGGTATCTCTCACAGGCAGGGGGCAGACTCTACACAGGATGAGATCGGGGCATCTGCTATCTTGGGTGCCCAGCTGGATGATGAGCTTGGAGGTGGACCTGTGCAGGTAATGCATATGAACAAACCGCTTGATCCACTTATTACGTACACATTCGTATATATGTTACGTCATGCTGAATTTGTTATTGAGAGCTCATTACATTTAGAGTAGTCTTGCAAATCTTTTATTTAAAGGTGCAGTAGGTGATTTTCCACAATGCGGTGTTCAGTAGTTTTAGGACAGGTTTGATAAAAGGTTTGGCAGCACTTAAAATGTTGACTACTGTATTCACAGTCTGTTTTAGACTTTACATAAGTAAAGTGTAAATAAATGCAGGGCAATACTACACTAGATACATTGTGTACTACATTATATAGCTTGATTTGTGCCATCACTTAACATTCACTTAATCCAGGGGTTCCCAAACTTTTCAGCCCGCGACCCCCAAAAATAAAAACCTCAGTGAGTTGCGACCCCAATATTCGCTGAAGTGATTATAAATGTACACACAACACTCAACAGCGCACACACATACCAATAGGCCCAAGTGTATTCATCTTTTAATTTTGGAGAACGCCACTGGGAGACCATCCTCCATGTTCATTTGTGGCCTGTATTTATTTTAAATGTACCTGAGTGCCGTAAAGGTGTCAAAGTTTATCTTGATGCCATTAAATCAAAGTGCTGCATCTGAAGCTATTGCTGTGTCTTTAATGTTACATAATCACCTCAGGGGTTGCAAAAAAAAAAAAACGAAAGGTTGTCGGCTTTTTATTTGTATGTTGTTTTTTAAATGTTTATTATTATTATGTTAACAATCAAATTATTTGGTTAAAAGAACATTTTGTTCTGACTTTTTTGTTTTACCAAGTTTACAATACCAATCCATAAACTTTCTTTTCACTCTGGCACACGCGTATTGGAAATGGTCATTTCGTCTCATCCGTAATCTATTGGAGGGTGCTATGGCAAACACATCTGCCAGATGAAGACTGCTCACTAGCGTTAATTTGGCAGAATAACAGTGCTTATCGCTGGGTAACAAACTGTTGTAATACGCTTTGATCATTATGTAAAAAATATGTAATAAACATAACTTCTCAGTAAAACTACTCATTTTATACCACATCAGTGTCATTCCTTCACTGCAAAAGCTAGCACTTTCGTTTTTTTTCTGCAACCATGATGCACATGCATCCTAAATGTTTATAAACCTGTAATTGGCCTATTAACTACTATTTTGTTCTTCAGTAGGTTATGGATAAAATATAGTCATTCTAATAATTAAAAGAAAATCAATTAGATTTTTGGACATTGCCCCCCCTTCTCTTGTCACCTGACTCCCTGGGGATCCGGACCCCCCACTTTGGGACCCACTGACTTAATCCATAGAAACATTAGTAATATCAATGTTAAAAGCTTTATTAATAATATAAAGCTGTAATTATCTAAATTCATGTTTAGCATTTGAAATTATCAATTGAATTAGTTTTTTTATATGCATAATCATTTTCGACAAAAAGTATATAGTAGCTTTAAATATTCTTGGATATTAGTCACATAGAAGTAGATATAGATATAATTATTAGTTGAATTTTAAGCACAACAGCTAAGTACTTAAAAGTAAAAAAAGATTCACATTATTAAAGTGTTTTCAAATTATCACAAGTTTTAATAAAAGTTCATCTCTATTTTTGACGAAGTATTACAAAACAATTATTCAGTTGTTTCAGTTAAATACAGTAGTAAGTACTAATGAATGAAATAAAGTGAATAAACCTTTTAATTTTATGTTGACCAAGTTCAAGCTTCATTTTACTTCTGGTTCCTCCTGTAGCTTCATAGCTTTCCTTCATTCTGCTATTATTGCCTTTTGCAATGGCCTTCCCTGATTTTCCATCTGTTAAACCAACATCCACTTCTATGTCTTTCCTTCCTGTCATTTATTCATATCCAACATCCTGCTGTAGATGGCTGGTGCTCCCCTTACTACTCAGGTATCCATATCTCAGGATAGCATGCTCCTGTACAGAGCCTGACATTTCTGCATCATGTAATAATAATTATAATAATAATGGGTGAATTTCTTCTTATTTTACTCCATGGTGTAGCGACATCATGTACAGCTAAACTTTATTAAATCCATTACATTGTTAAAATCACAATTCCACTTTTGACTGCATAATCAAATATGTAAAAAGAGAATTGTTTTCTGTAAGGCTCTGTACACTGACATGCACACTATCCCTGTTTATGCCTCTGTATTTGTGTCTTTTTTTGTGTTTATGTTGATATTTCATAGTATGTGCACAAAACACTAACTGTCTTCCACATTTCCAGATTTCCAGAGTGAGCATGTGAACATTAACAGAAATGCTCCATTGTGAATTCACAGTTATATTTTAACTAGTGTGACTTTTATTTTTGTGTCTGGATTTATGCATGCTGTCATTCACAGTGCTATTGGAGAAATGAGAGAACCTGAAAAAAAAACGAGCATGTGAATGTAGTTGGTGTGATCAATATCTAGGGAATGTTTTGGTCTGTAGGCACCTGCGTACAAAAGTTTGGGATACTTTTTAAAATTTGTTTTACATTTATTTGTATTTTTAAAAGAAATAAATATTTTCCTAATGAAGTCATTAAAAAGTCTAAAGTGACAATAAATATTACGTTTTTTTTATAATATACACTGTTAGACCTTACCAGGCTTTTTTACAGAAGAACACTGGCAACACTGTTGCCAGCTACTCACTGTAAAAGTTTGGTTACAGTAAGTAACTGGCAACAGTGTTGCCAGTTAATTACTGAAACTGAACCATTACAGTGAGTGGCTGGCAACAGTGTTGCCAGTTGTTTACTGTAACTGAACCATTGCAGTGAGTAGCTGGCAACAGTGTTGCCAGTTAATCACTGTAATAGAGCAGTAGTGGTAACTAACTGGAAACTGTGTACAGTTAATTACTGTACTGTAGTGTTACAACTCACAGCATTATACTGCATACACAATAGTATGTCAAGGTGTTACTAAAATTAATTAGTATTCTTACCTGTTATTAATTCTTTAAATTAATTAAGTTGTAAATTCTGACAAATTTATTTTATTGTTTTGGCAGCAAACAAATATAAAACAGAAAATGTATAACAAAATTAAGAAATCAGCAGATATAAATATCATCTTGCATATTACTGAGAGCCCCCGGTCTGCACAGCAAGGCTGCAGTCAAACTAACGTTTAAGCATGCAAAATTCTGTCATATGGCTCTGCGAAAAGGAGTGGGATTAAACAAAATATTTAGAGATTGAAAAAGCAAGCAACTGGTCCATAATTTTTGTTCAGAGAGGTCATGGTTTAATCTTTGATTAGTCTCAAGCAATCACATAATGTGATTTCGCAGTTCAGAGTTCTCCAAGCTTGAACTTTCCAATGCTGCAAACTGTAAAATTTGTCGCATGAGCATGCATTCCAGGTCTGCAGCATTCACATGCGTATGAATGGAAGTCTAAAGGGAGAAAAGTGCAGTGTGACTGGGACTTTAAGCTGTAACTCTAATTAAACACACCTGATAAAACTAATTAAGGCTCGTTAGAAATCTACAGGTAATGTTGAAGAAGGGTGGGAACTAAACTCTGCTGCCCTGCAGTTCTCCAGTAACTTGGAGTTTGACCCCCATGGTATATAGCAGGGGTGCTTAATCCTGTTCCTGGAGATCTACGTTCCTGCAGATTTCAGTTGCTACCCATATCAAACACACCTGCCTGTAATTATCACGTGGTGTTCAAGTCCTAATTAATTGGTTTAGGTGTGTTTGATATGGATAGCAACTGAAATCTGCAGGAAGGTAGATCTCCAGGAACAGGATTAAGCACGCCTGGTATATAGCATACTTTTAAAGCAACTGCTAACATTTATCACAATCACATATCCAATAAACACACAAACACACACACAAAGTGCTGCAGTGAAATGTGTTACTCTCTCCTCAATGCTGACCATGCAAAAAAAAAAAAAAAAACTGAACAGCAAAAAACAAAATAATTATTTTAAATTTTAAAGTTTTAAATAATTAAAAGCTCTGTCAAATCTCAAAAAGTTTAAAATAATTATAGAAAACAAAAATAAAGTTGGCAACACCGAAAAACCAAAGGATCCAATCTTTTATTGTTATAATTATCTCATGACAACAAACTTTTTTATTGTTTCAAATATAAATTCATAGGTGGAAACACTGCTCTGAAAAATACTTAGCAACAAACTCACAACCTGGGACCGGACAGGGGAGCTTTTGTGTGTGGATGGCTATGTGTATCATGTTTTTGTTATTCCCTGTGATGATGTGCACATGCTACCTTACTGAGATGATGGAATTTAATATTGGCTTAGTTGCCAGAAAGATACATACAACTTTTAGCATCTGTATATTATGGCAGTATGCAATATCCAATAAATACATATACTTAAACAAAAGTAATGTAAAAAGTTATATGAGGAGAGGCTAACTAGCTAACAATGTAGCTTTCAAGTACACAGCCTTATTTTATAAACCCTCAAAAACATTTAAACACATTTTACTTCCTCATTTAAGATTCTTATTTAAAGCCTAAAACATATCAGACTCAACATCTGAATTGATGGACAGAGAATAGAGCACACTCAGCAGTAAACAAATCAAACACCTGACTCCCTTAAAGGGCCAGCATTTTCTGAAAACTCTTTCTAACACCTTTGTGTTTAGAATAAGACAGACAGCCTGTGGGAGTGTGTGGTGATGCCTAAATCATTGTTTTTTTACAGTTATTTACTGCACAATCTACAGAGTAACAGTGCAGTTATACTAATTAAACACACCTGATCAAACTAAATCTAAAGGTAGTGTGTTGAAGCAGGGCTGGAACTAAATTCTACTAGGCTGTGGCCTTCCAGGAGTTTGACACCCCTGGTACATAGCATATTTTTAAAGCAACTGCCTACATTTATCACAGTTATGCACATATCGTTTAATAAAAACAATAAAAATATACTATAATATAAACTTCATCCATAGAAAAAAATAAATAAATAAATAATCTGATTCTCATGTCGTTCCAAATCTGTAGTAAAAATAATAAAAAACACAACAAATATCATGATTTATACATTTATTTAGGAAAGCCTTTATACTGTTAATGGCACTTTTACTTGCCAGTTTTCCAGACAAATTCATTGAGTCTCTGCAAAAATGTATGTGCGTGTTGTTTAAGATATATATATATATATATTTTTTTTTTTTTTTTTTTTTTTTTTTTTAATAACACATTTTTACTAGTTATTTAGCAAAATACTAATATTCAGTTGAAAGTGCAATTTAAAATCTTAACTATAGGTCAAACTAGGCAATTAAATTAGATTAATTATAGAAAAAGTAAACAAAGTTATAAAAATTATTGTGACAATTTCTTTGCTCTGTGAATATTTTTGCCTTTAAATGCATTTCGTCCATATCTTACACTTACCTTTTAATAAGCTCTGTGGCATTGGTTGACTCCTGATACTCAATGTTAAAAACATAAAAGGAACCAAAGAAAACACAGAGATAAAATAAATATAAAATAGCAACATAAAGCATCAGAGTAGATGGGGCAGTAATGGTTGAACAGTAATTTACCATTTATTATCACAGTAAATATCTGTAATGGTACATGGAGTATATTACTGTAATTTATTCTTTGCACTACAGAATTTCATACAAATCCTGCTCCTTTTACAGTAAAATACTGTTTATTTTCATTACAGCTAAACACTGGCTATTTTACAGTTATTTACTGCATAATCTACAGTAAGGGTTAACAGTGTAGGTTTAGATTGTCACACATTCTATTATCTTTTTAACTGTCTTGAACATTTTAAAAATATCAAACTGAAATTTTAGATTTGTCATTATAGATAAAAATAACATGATCTAAACTGATATATGAAATTTTCAATTGTATTACTATTTCACAATTTTACTCTTATTTTGATTATATGAATTCAGCATCAATTTTAACCCTAATCATTTGAATTGCAGTTTACCATATTTTCTATGTCTTCTTTACTAAAGTGTTTGGAAATAGTAAAGGAAAACGTGGAAACACAAGAGCAGATATTAGATTTAACTCAATACAACAATGTAATTAGCAGGAAATAACATAAGAAGACTAAATGTTTGGAGAGTTTGGTTTAGAAACTGTAAAATAACCACTTTTGTACTGATTACTGATAAATCTCTACTTCCTCTTGCAACTGAACAGCCCACTCGCATCATGCTAACCACAAAGGATGCTGGGAATGTGGCTTTGGTCCCACATTTCCCAAAGTGAGCTCAACACTGCCACCTTGTGGAATTAAATGCTATCCTCAATCAAAGCCTCTTGAAATCTAGTCCTGCTAGTATGATTTCTATGATTTTATATACCATACATGAGTATTATCTGTAAACATTTTTGTAGAAGCATTGACATCCTGTTATCCTCCATTTAATGGTTATCCAGGTGCGTGTGGTCCAGGGTAAAGAACCTGCTCACCTCATGAGTCTATTCGGTGGGCAGCCTATGGTGGTACACAAGGGTGGCACCTCCAGAGAAGGTGGTCAGACGGCGCCAGCAGAGACTCGGCTGTTCCAAGTGCGCTCAAATTCAGCAGGGTGCACTCGAGCTGTAGAGGTCAGTGGCTATTATTATGGGACAAGTTTTAAAGGGGTCATGACAAGGATTTTTACTAATTATATTAATATGCTGTATGATGTTATCTTATAATGTTAATAATGTTTTTTTTTTTTTTGATAAAATAACAAATATAAAGGCTGAAAAACTCTAACTTACACATTTCATCCTGACCAGTTTTGTGAAAGGGCCTTGTTTTAAGGGGCGGGTTCTTTATAGCTAGCCCAATGTTTTTATTGGCTAATGTCATTGCATAGGGAACTGCAGCAACACTGCCTCGTAGTTCAAAATGTTGTGGTGCAGTTATTGATTTGACTTCTGCGACATTATCCATATAAAATCATCATTCGCAGACAAAGTGCAGTGGCTGTCAGTTGCTGAACATTTGAGTGCTTTGTCTTTCAACAAAATTTACTTGGTCTTAAAACAATCTGCAGACAAATGTTCTGCAAAATGCATGTAAACATCAGAAATCCAATGCACATATGCAAAGCAATGCGTCTCTATAAGTTTGCTTTTGATGTAACACTTGCATACAGTCATTTTTACAGTACATGCTTTTGTTTATAATGAGAAGAATGTTTTAGTCATTGAAATTTTGATGATATTTTCACAAAAAAATGAAACTCATGTCATTATTTACTCACCTTTCACTTGTTCTAAATTTATTTAAGTTTATTTCTTCTGTTAAACACAAAAAAAGTTCATTTGAATAATGTTGAGAGCTATATCGACTTCCATCAATTTCTTTTTCCTGGAAGTCAGTGAGTCCCAGCAACCAGCATTCTTCAAAATATCTTATTCTTAGATAGAAACTCATAAAGGTGTAAAATCACATGATGGAGAGTAAATCATGGGGTAATTTTTATATTTGGGTGAGCCAGGCCCGGATTGGCTAATCGGGAGGACCGGGAGAATTCCCAGTGGGCCAATCTGTTTTTTGGCCATGAGGGTCGGTGTCTTTAGCTGCTTGCACTCTCAGCAGTCACACTTTTTTCATTTATTTATTTATTTGATCATAGCCTCACTCTTTTTATATATTATTTTGCTGCAGCTCCGCTCTTTTTATTTATTTTCTCGCAGCCAAGTGAGCAAAATGCAGCCTGCAGGTTAATGATGGTGTAACTATCATTCAACCCCAAACAGCACCACCTTAGTGAATATAAGAATTTGAATCATTTATATTAATGAATATTACACCTGATCAATGAAAATCAGATGATTCGCTACATTAAAAAATCTGACATAACTTGGTCAGAAATCTAAAAAGGGGCGAAAAAGATTAAGCCATCAATAGAAAGTAATACTGTGGTTAAAAGAGTCATGTAGATAATAGTGCAATATTTGTTTTTTATCCCAACCACACCAGCACAACAATGCCATTGTGGTCCAGTGGTCAGCACATTGCATTATGATGCTGCTGACCCGTGTTCGAACCTTACCCAAGTAATTTATATATTTATTTTTTTATTGTTAAGACATATAATACTGTTAGGGTTGTTGAACATTTGAAGTTCTAAAGCAGCTGTTTTCTTGAAAAAGACATGATAGATATTTTAAAATAGTCAGTCGTGAACTGAGGTGGGCCGATCTAAGGCTTAAAAATCCAGGGCTGAAAAGGAGTCCCACTCTGGCCCTGGGGTGAGCTATTCGTATTTCACACGTCACGGTGATACTTTCTGATCTTAACCATTCTTTCCTTCAGATTGATGCTGTTTCTTCTAATCTGAATTCCAATGATGCCTTCGTCCTGGTGACCCCAGCTGCCTCTTTCATATGGGTTGGTCAAGGAGCCAGTGACATTGAGAAACGTGGCGCACAGCAGCTCTGTGGCATCCTTGGAGTGTCTCCCTCTGAGCTGAGTGAAGGAGGAGAGGATGGTGAGGAATCCTAGGAATTCTTTAATGGATTAGTTCATTAAAGCTCTTTCTTAGTTTACAATATCACACAAACCTGTATGATTTTGTTTCCGTCATGTAACACAAAAGAACGTTTGGAGATGAAATTGGCATATTTTGGGGGGAATGAAGCCTTTAAAGTGCCTCATTACGCTTTTTTTAATATAAATTATACATAAGTACCCTCTAGGAGTCCTCCAAAAATAAATTAGGGATCATGAAAATGGCATAATTGGGACACTTTAATGTTTAAAGCAACATAGAAGAGTTAGAATAGTAGTGCATGTAACTTATGATGTCATTTTGTTTTTTGGTTAAATATTCAGTTTAAACGGATTTTAAAAAGTAATAATAAAACAATGAAATGCAACTTAAATAAATATTTTCAATCCTTAAATTATTAGTGATCATTTTATTACAATATAATATTTTAGTTCCATTATTTAATAGTAATTATTTAGTTTTTTTTGTACATCTATGATCCTGATAATTAAACTTCTATGTATATATATCCTTCTACTTCAGGTGGATTCTGGGATGCTCTTGGAGGAAAGGCTGCTTATCGCACATCCTCCAGGCTAAAAGACAAAATGAATGCCCACCCACCACGACTGTTCGCCTGCTCGAACAAAACTGGCCGTTTCATTGTGAGTAACACCTGGACATTTTCTGATTGCCCTGATTTGACGGATTATCGTGTCGGTGTAGCGTGAGATGTAGATGAGTGTGAGAGAGTCCATCAATACCGCTGTGTTTATATTCATGCAGATTGAAGAAGTACCTGGAGAGATGACCCAAGAAGACCTGGCTACAGATGATGTCATGATCCTTGACACCTGGGATCAGGTAAACCCATTACATGAACAGAATTGCTCTACTTTACATAGTGTTCAAAACAAAAGCAGAGAGAAATCTGCTCTTATTTACACCAGTGGAAGCATGTGACTTAGAAAGCACTCAGTGTTGCTTGAAAAAAACAAACAAAAAAAAACACATCTGCCAACATAGATTAACTATAGAAGATAATGAAATTCATTGGATTCAATACAGTTTGCAAATGGAGGGATAATCAGTGCAAATACTAATTATGATATTCATCAATATTATGTTATTATATTATATTATTCATATTTATGGTGCGTTTACACTAGTGTGGTTTAGTTTTTAAACGGCATTGTTGTTTTTACATTGTTTCAGAAAAACAATCTTCATCAACACTAGACAGTGTAACATGCAATAAACATGACTATTCACGCTCACTGGGCATGCGTGTATTTTGCTGGCATCCATACTTGTCATCTACCACTTGTGTTATGATTAAATAAGAGATCATATGAAATTAATGAATCAGGGAATGACACACAGTAGTCCAGAAGACCAGTCAGAGAGGGATTATGGATTGCTGTGCCTCTGTATTGAAAAGTCCATCTAAACCGAAACGCTACCTCAGCAATTCTAATGTAAACAGCGTCTTTAGCTTTTTCAAAACACAATGTTTTTGCAAGTCAAAGATGCCATAGTGGTGTTACTAATTTCGAGAGGAGCACGTGCTCGTGATTGATCCAGCTGGCCCACATTAGCTAATCATGATCCTCCAATCAAAGGATCCTAGGTCACTATAAATATCCTTATTTCCTTTCTACAACTTTTCCTTTCTTTTGCTTCGTCCCAATCCGCATACTATCCATCCTAAATAGTATTTGAAAAATAGAATTAGTATGTCCCTGTAAGAATGAGTTTTAACCAAAGCGGTTCGAACTGTAGTTCTGCCGAATGACTAAAAAATGATCAGTATGGATGGTAAAAAACTGTACATTCCTAGTCAAACCATTCTTCTGCAATCTCATACCAAAAACAGAAATAAGGGCAGCATTAATAGCTATAAATGTGGGAGAGATTTGATAGTATGTGATTGTATTGTAATGCAATATGGAACTTGCATTTAATTGTTGATGTTAAATCAAAAGTAATTCACAAATACTTGAAAATGAGATGATTTAATGACAATAATTCTCTATGGTTACAACTGAATTAATTAAAAAATAACTGTATAAAATGATAAAATATGGGATGATAAAACATGTGCTATAAATTGTACTCAGCTTAAATGTAAGAATCCAAAATAGCAGACCCTGAGAATCGTTATGGAATTTCATGAGACAAGATGCAATGCTCCGATGCACTTTCTAATCTGAGAAGTGATCAAGAAACCAGCTGTTCAACTGTTCTATTCAAATCACTGTTGACAATGCAAACACATGCTGGAGAAACAGAGCTACACTACAGCAGGGGGCAATGCGAGACAGTCACCCTTCTCCTTCCACCTCAAAGCCCTTTTCTTGACCCGTATGTTACCTTCTGATTAAAGCACATTTCACATAAAATGTTCAAGGTTTTAATATGGTGTATCTTGCAGCACTATTTTCATGTTTGGTACCATTTTAAATGTCTCTGTGTGATTGGTAAAGTGGTCTTAATTTTACAGTAATATTTCACTGGGATTAAATATGACAGAAATTAAATATGACAGAAATGTTGATGATTGACAGGGGGCATAACTAAGCAACACAACAATCTGCTAAAAGGGAAGTAGTATGTCTCAAAGCTTGCATACTCTTCTGTTGCACACTCAAAAGTATAAACTTTTCCTTCACAAAAAAGTACATACTTTTAGGGCGTAGTATAAGTATGCGAATTGGGATGCAACTTGTGTCTGGAAGAAACCCCCCTCCTCCCCTTCTTCCACCTTTATCCAGAAGGGGCGGCACAGTGGCCCAGTGACTAGCACTGTTGCCTCACAGCAAGCATACCAATGGCGTTGGGTCCTAGCTGGGCCATCTGGTTTTTCTGTGCAGAGTTTGCATGTTCTCCCCGTGTCTGTGTGGGTTTCCCCCACCTTCCCTGGTTTCCTCCCACTGTCCAAATATGCTCTATATTATAAATAAAATAAGCCCTAAATCTTTTTCCTAATGTCTTACTCTCAGGAAATTCACCTTAGCCTCAGCAGCGGTGGAGTTTGAGATCGACCTGAGCTCAATTTCATCAATCTTGCCTGCTGTGACTCTGGCCTGCTGCAAATCTCCTCCCCCTAACCCCCTCCCTCCACACCTAACAATTGCCACCCCCCCCAATCCCCCCCTCCCCCCTTAGCCTGGTTTATACTTCTGCATCAAATGATCGGTGTGACCAACGTGGTTAAATTTGTTGCTTGTCTGCTGGTTTCTGCCTCAAAATGAGCGGGTTTGAACCACTTGTAAAGAATATACAAAACACCAGTGAAGAAACTCGAAACAGAGGAACAGAAACACCTCACTGCCACCTGAAGTGTTATTGCAGAGCAACAGAAACAGCGCGCAGAAGTATGAATGCACAGCTACATGTGTTACATGTGTTGCAAGTTGATCACTGCGTACACCGCGCCGTGGCATGCGTGTAAGCTTGACTTTATCGATCGCCACCCAAACACCCCCCACCCCCCACTGATCTTCACTTTCTTGATCGCATCAGATGTGTCCTGATTAAAGCTGCAGTCACATTAGAGTTTGAGCATGCAATATTCTGTCGTGCGGCACTGCGAAAAGGGGCAGGATTAAACAAGCTTATCAGACATTAAAAAAGTGAGCGTTTGCTCTATGTTTTAAGATTCTGTCCAGAGAGGTCATGTTTTGATCCTCGATTGGTCTCACGTAGTCAAGTGATGCGATTTCACAGGTCAGAGTTCACCAAGCTTGAACTTTGCACTGTAGCAACCTGCTAAAACTTGACGCATGACCCTGCTCTTCTGGTCTGACGCATTCGCGTGCGTATGAATGGAAGTCTATGGGGAGAAAAGTCAAATGTGACCGCAGCTTAACAGTAACTTTTTCTCGGGTTGAAAATGGTGTCTTAGTCCACCCCTTGCAGTTTACACTAGTGCATTTTCATTTTAAAACGCATACATTTTACTACGGTTATGCCTGGAGTCACATTCTGGCATCTCTGACCAGCAAAAATGGTGCATTTTGAAAATGCTAAAGAGTCCATTTTAGTTAAAAACCGAACACCCCTATTTTCAGTATATAAAAGGACTTAAGTGCAAACTTTAGAAAATGGAGGCATGAATTTTCACATCCTCTCTCTGAATAGTCTTCTGGACTATTGCATATTGTTTCCTGATTCATCATGCCCCACTCATATGACCATTACATAAGCGGCAGACTGTAGGTACAGATGCAGGCAAAATATACACATGCCCAGTGGGTGTGAATGGTCACGTATCAAGCGTTTTAGACGGAGAAAAACTGGCAGAGGAGCATTTTCCTTCTAAAATGCTGTTTTGAAAGAAAAAAATGTCATTTAGTAACATCTTTCAAATTCAGAATCTTGAAAATTCCCCCAAAAAAATGGAAAAACCCAGAAGGCAAGCAATGTTCAATTTTAATTATTACATGAAATTAACATAAAACAAACTAAAAAAAAAAAAACACTTCAAGTCAATCTTAATATCCAAAATCAAACAAAAAGTGCTCAGGGGAAGCTTAATTAATGTGTTGGTGTTGTTTGGGTAAGGGATTCATCAGAATAAACAGCAAAATTAAGTCCAAGGCACTCGAAAAATGTGGGAAAAATATATTAAAAAGCCTTTATTGACATGGCTATTCCTTAAAACTGCACCTACATGTTTCAGCAAACACTTGCCTTCATCATCCATTTTACATCCATACACTGATATCCTGTTCTTGACCACTTAAGTAATGACAAAGATAATCAAACGTACAGACAGGTTTAATTTGGAAAATGAAGGAAGGGTGCATTAGAAGCAGTGAGGACAGATATTGGAAGAAATTGCCGACCAAACTGAATTGAAAAGGATGTTATACATCACCTTGATCAAGTCTTGGCAAATATGTGATGTGCTTTTGATATCAAGGTGCCCGCTGGGTAATTAATCTTGATGTGTTCTGCAGGTGTTTGTTTGGATTGGTAATGAAGCTCATGATGAGGAGAAAATGGAGGCAATGACTTCAGGTGAGGCTTGTTATACTGAATCATCAACACCAATGTGCACTGTATAATGTCTACATCTATTTTAGCTCTACTGATTCAATTACTATTATTGATTTGATTTCTCATGCAGTATATAACGGAGCAATATAACAGAATATTTTAACAGCATTAATCTGAGTTTAATAAATAAAATAGACTTTAATTATTTATTTGGTTGGTTGTTTATTACAGTAGTGTACTTTGCCATAGAGTTTTTTCTTCTCTAAATAATAGTGTTATCCATGACTTAGTCCACCAGGTGGCAGTAAAGAAAAAAAAAACACAAAAAACATTTTTTGAGCTTGTGGCATTTCTAAATCTGAATCGAAATTTCTCTGCAGCTGCCCAATACATCCAGACAGATCCAGCCAACCGTGACCCACGCACAGCTATAGTGAAGATTAAACAGGGCTTTGAGCCGCCCACCTTTACCGGCTGGTTCCTGGGCTGGGACCACGACTACTGGAGCACTGACCCTCTGGAGCGGGCCATGGCGGAGCTGGAAATCTGAACTATAACCTCTCAACCCCACTGCCTTACTGCAAGTCAATCAGAGTCGCCCTTAGACATGTATGAGACTCCAGTTTGATGCAGTTTCAGAAAGAAAAGCAGGTCCTGGGTCAGTTCGAAAAAAGCACCTTACTGCCCTGAGCTTCTTCAGTCACAAAACTTTAAAGCAATTCTTTTCATTTGTCACCTTGTTACTTTGTATTTATGTTTTTCTTTAAACAATTTTTAAAGCTTTCAGATTGTTGTATTTTGTCTGTGCACCTTTTATTTCTGAAGCGCATGAGTTTGTTTCAAAAATATACAAGGATTTCCTTGTTTAAATCTGCTAGTTTTTTTTATTTAAGCATTTTATGAGTTTTATTTGTAGCACTACTTTAGTCTTTACATTTTTTGTATTTATGATGAAACTAGATTATTTTTTATCTTGCTGCCAAAATACTAGGGTTTTTTCTCTTCATTTGGATGTAATTGTTTCATAAGACAATTGCATTTGGATTCAGTCATTGTCTGTATTTGGAATAACATACTAGTATACTTTTATGACATAGAAAACATAAGCTAAATCAAAATTAGAAATGATAAAAAATAGAAAATTGAAGAAAAAAAAAGAAAAATACTTACTGGTAATATAAATTAAGGGGAATTTAAATCAAAATCTAGATTCTAATTTTACATAATTTAAATAAATTTTCTTTATAAAATTGTACCTAAAAATCTAGTGTTTGATTTATTTTTTGAAAATGAATATAGAATGGTCAAGTGAATTAGTTAAGCCATGACAATTAGTGAAGCCATTCTATTAACTTATTTTAGATTTGAAAAAGCAGCGTTTCGAATTGGATTTGTTGAGCAGCATAGAATTTCTCATTCCAGTCATAATCAATTTGCCATAACTATTAAAGATGACTTTTAATTTCATAATCAGAATGTTTGAGTGGAATCTGGGCCCAGTTTTTCAAAATAAATCCAGTGGGATTTTGGATCACGGGTTGGATCAAATTTTGGAAATGTTTTTTTCAAAAGTAACAGAGGGATTTTGAGTAAAAATCAGACCATGTAATCCAGTCTTACATTTGCCCCTTGGGTCATTCAAAACTTTGAACTCGGATTGGAATCAATTTGATGCAAAATAAATAAATAAATAAATAAATAAATAAATAAATGGATTATCCTGATCCCATCAGAAGGGTGAATTCAGATTTAGATTTTATGAACCAAATAAAATTTTAAATGTTTTTTTTTAAGTAAATGATCACAAACTTAATGGTTACTGATGATATACAAATTCCTTTTTACTGTAATTGAAGCCTATATGAAGCATGTCACATCTAATAAGATACGGCAACCAACAACAACAAAACAATATCAAAGCAGTACTGTTAACTAAAAAATGCCAAACAGAATTTACAGTTTATAACCAGCAACTGGGGTGCCGGAAAAATTCATTTAAATTAATGGGCGTTATTTTATGGTAAATTTCTGCAATTTAACGGGCGTTATTTTACGGTAAATTTTTGTAATTTAACGGTCGTTATTTTACGTTTGTTTTTTTCAGCACCCTAGCTGCCGAAAATAATCTGTAAAGTTGTGGATTTCTTTACAGTGCATTTAAGGCTCTGGTAAACAGGATTTGGGTATCCTGAAATTTGGTATTTGGATAACAGTGGTCCAGCTCAATGTTCCTCAATTAACTCAAACTGTTATAAAAGTAAGATAGATCAGTTAACCCTGGATTGCAAAACACAGGATTTCCAAATCTGGACCAATTTGATCCAGATTAAACTTTTTGAAAAACTGGGCCCTAGTTGCTTCTTCTTGAAGGCCATAAAAAATGACCCAAGATTCAATGGAGAATAAAGGCAACCTTGCTGTTTATTTTTAAGGGCTGAATTAAACATTAACATATGACCCTAAAAGTATATTATCATTTTATGTGCAAGTTGAACAGTTCTTGAACTCCAAAAATTCATCATTGTTGAGTGTTTGTGTTTTGTCTGTCCATTCATAAAATAGATTAGTAGATCTTTTTATCCTCTCACACTTTTATTTTTTGCCATTTTCAGTAGTAAATTTCTTGTTTCTTTTCAAACTACACAGTAATAATGCTGGGATCCACACAATCGATTCATGTTGGGACAACATGAAGGAATTAAGTTAACTTGTTACTTTTTACAAATTTAAGTAGATTGAACAAAACAATTAAGTTGCCCCCTAAAAAAACTGTAGAATTGTGTCGATTCAGCTCATTTCAAGTAAGTAGTTTGAACAAACAGCAAACATCATTTCTTGAGTGTTTAAAACTCAATTTATGTTTGCTGGTTGTTCAAATTAATTAAAATGAGCTAAACACAATTATTAACATTTTGGGGGCAGTGGGGGGCAACTTAATTGTTATATGTTAAGTCCACTTAAATTTGCAAAAACAATTAAGGTTATCAATTTGTGTTGGGACAACAAGGAATTGTGTGGAACCCGGCATTTTTTTTACAGTGTACTTAATGTTTGTGTCCTATACTCTACATGGCCTCTCACATACAGTACATATCAGTTGATGTTTAAAAATCCTCATCATGCAGTAGTTGCCTTTAAAAATTGCTGACAACTTGTGTAACAACGTATCTAAAAGGGTTATTCCAAACTTTTGCTGCTTTCACAAATCCTTCTGTACCTGAAATAATAATATTAATAAATAAATAAAAAAAATCCCAGTTTAACATCTTATTACCACAATCACAAAAGTGTCCACACTGTTCTTCACTGATCAAGAACTGCAACAACAACATTAACAGCTTTGTTTAAAGTTTATGTATTTTTATGTAACGACATCACATTTGATTTATGATTTAGTGACAAGAATGGGACAGTCAAATATATGACAGGCATAAAAATACAGTACAAACTGTAAAAAAAAAAAAAAAAAAAACATTCAATGTCACCATGTACATAAAAGTGAATTGGCAAAACAGCAGGTGTAATTTTACATACATCAGTTACAATAAGACAGAAGAAAGATATTTTATATACGTATAGAATTGTGACAGACTGATGAGCGAATACAAACATACGGAAATATCATTGAAACAATAAACAGTCCTAAGCAGCACTGCAATTCATTCACATCTTTAAAAAGTTTGTAATCTCATACCTGGATATTTAAAACAGCACAAACATTGACCTCTATAGCCTTCGTTTTGTTTTCGGCAAGTAAAAACATTAGATTAGATTTATTAAAATGTCTCGCATGAAATGTTACGATCAAAACCAAGTGATAAACAGGAGGTTATTTAAAGGTTTTAAATGTCAACCGTCATGATGTAAACCTGTAAATATTGATGGAGTAATTAAAGTTGATATGGCTTAAGGCTTTTGCATTGACAGTCAGCGTTAATAAAGGTTTGTGGAAGTGAACCTGTAGGCACAATAAGCGTTGCTGTCAGTTTCGTCCCGTGACACCCGATACTACTCAAATATATCTCTTCAGATGGTTTATTATCTATTTGGCAATCAAGCAGATTAGGTTACATATGCTGAAAACACACACAAACACTCACACACACACCTGCACATGCACTCATTTGCACAGGAGGCGTTTAATTAACCATCAAACCAAAAAGACATTTTTTTTTTGTGCATTATTCATCATTTCAAATATCAATCAGCTCTGGTCTGTATCCCTCTATTACAATTATGACAACCAGAGATCTTTTGTTTATAATTTTGAATTATATGGTGTAGAGTTTGTCAGAGGATTTCACAATTTGGAGTCAGAATTGCTAAAAGATTTACATGCGAGATTAACTCACAATTAAAAGAAATAAATATATTTTTGAGTATAATTTTAAGTCTGAATTTGTCTCTTTCAAATCTGGGTTTTGAGAGGTATTACGGTGGGCGAGAGAGTTTAACATACTGCAATTTAAGAAAACGTGAGTTTACAAAAAAGGCAGCAAATTCAGAAAAGATCTTCATCCGTTTGACAGCACACATGCTGCAAATTCTCAAAACGCAAACACATTAAAAAACAACAAATTTTCACACAACGCAACCAAATTAATAAAACGCTCTACATTTTCTCACAACGCAACAATTTACGAAAACGTGCTTCATTCAGAACACAATGAAAATGCTTCACCCAAAAACGTGATGGACACCACTGTGCCGTGACGATTGCTCAGTGAAGTTGTGGGTGATCTTCGAAAGGTGAGCTTATTGTTCGTTTATTTTACCATCTAGATTGGCTTGTTTTTTGTATTTTATTATCATAAATAACCATAACCTAAATAGCCAGGTCATCACGTTTTAGTGTCCCCTTGAAATATTTCTTGTGTTTCATGCAGTGCGTTTTTGTAAATTGTTTGCTTTGTGAGAAAATGCAGTTCGTTTTCGTGAATTGTTTGTGTTTAATATGTAAAATGCAGTGCATATGTTGTCAAACCGATGGTGATATGTTCCTTATTTGCTGGCATTTTATTTGTAATTGCTAATTTTCCTAAACTGCAGCACATTAAGCTCTCTCGGTCATCGCATGTTTCTCATTAATCTAGGTTCAGATAAAATGTCTAAATTTTGACACGTAAACTGTGAATTGAGAGAAATTTTTTTTTAATTGCTTAAAAAAAAGTTTACATCTCACAAATCACAACAGCAGCAAAATGTGAGAATAAAAAGTCTAAATTGTTATTTAATATATAAACTTATAAAAAAAAGTTTTATAGTTTTATATATATATATATGTTTTATATATATATATGTTATATATATATATATATATATATATATATATATATATGACAAATCTGTGTTTGAAAAAAAGAAAAAATTGTGAGAAAGTCTTAGTTACAAAAACATAGTTTTTTTTTAATACCATGGTCTGTGATCTGTATACTTTAAATCCAATTATTAGTATGAAACCCATGCTGAAAGTTTGAGACAAAGAGCACAAAATGTTTTGCACTCAATTTTCTCATTTAAATTCTTATTTAATGGAGGATTTCATGACTATCCTTCATTTTGTATCCAATTTCCTCCAAAAAAAAAATTAAAGGAATCACACATGTAAATAAAGAGAGGGGTGTGGGTGTTTTACATGGACCGTGGAGTCCAAAAGTCTGAGACCACTAATGAAATGGTGAAAAATATTTAGCATTTTCATTTTATATTATCAGAATGATGACTGGAGGGTTCAGATTAATATACACTACCAGTCCAAAATTTGGCATCTGCATTATTTAATATTGTTTTAAAAGAAGGCTATTACTAATAATAACTGTTTCTAATAAACTAACGGTAAGATAATATATTCCAATTTAAATGTGAAAGGTTTTACTGTATTTCTGATCAGATAAATGCAGCTTTAGAAGGTTTAAAAGGTAGTGAAGGTATATAAATTTCAGGATTTGACTTTTTGACCTCCTCCAATCTGTAAAGTCACATGATCAGCAATGCACAAATTCGATTAATAACCAACAAACCCAATTTAATCTCTAAATTTAGATTCTCATTTTAGATAAAATCCAGGACACAGAATAGCAGATTCCTCAGACTTCTGGACCCCCTGCAGTACATTATCCTCACACGAGTGCATGTTACATAACCTTCAGTCTGTTCATCTGTGCATGGCTGCGTCTGTGTGTGTGCGCTCAGTGCTTCAGGAAGGACTGCATCATGTCGATGGGCAGAGGGAAGATGATGGTGGAGTTCTTCTCTGCAGCGATGGTGTTGAGGGTCTGGAGGTATCGCAGCTGCAGGGCAGACGGAGACTCTGCGATCACCAGAGAGGCCTCCTTCAGAGCCCGTGACGCATTCATTTCTCCTTCAGCAGCGATCACCTGCAGGGAAATGAGGCCAATTTAGAAAACCTCAGACACCACACAAAACTTCCAGAACATTACACTAGTTTCACATTGACACCCACTGTTTGTCTTTTTAACTTGTATCTTCATTGTAAGTGATCTAATGCTTTAGGAGCCAGATGTCTGGTCACAAAATAAATACAAATTTAAAACTGATGAATATTAGCCTATTTCTTTTTTACTTTAGATAACCTACAGTATGTACCTATTTTGTGAATTTTACCACACACACAAAAAAAAAAAACAGGTTAAAGTTAAACAGTTAAAAATGAGGTAAAAATATGTGGATACACTACGTTAGTTATCTACATTCTTTGGTCAGAATATACTGCACTATAAAAGAATAGATATAAAGAGCTAGATTAAGATCTAAGATATTTAGGATAGATAAAATACTGTTGGCTAAAGTTTTGTTGAATCAAATAAACTTTTCTAGTCACCTTAACTAACAGACTATATATCAAGTATAAAAGTGTATGATTTATAGTTTAAACTTGATGAACTTATTAAAATAAGTTCATTAAGACTCATAAAAATTTTTTTACTGTCATGCCATTTTGTCATATATTTGTGTAGAACTGCATTCTAAATATTGTTTTCAATTTTAAAGAATTGGCCTTCATTTTAGTGTTTTTTTTTTTTTTTGTTGATAATGAACGGTTCCAGACAAATAAAATAACAACAACAACAACTAATGATAATATTTAGCTAATTAATAAATACAAATATTTTCAAAATTCCCTGAAATCCATTCAAAAATGTAAATAATTTAATAAATAAAACTATAATAATTTTACCACAAAATCTAAAGGTCAAGTAAGATTTATAATGTCTCATTCTTTAACATATATAATTATAATAATTAATACAAACTAATATTGAAGTATGCTTCTGTATTTTTTAAAACCTGACAGAAATAAATGAATTAATTTTTGCCAATTTTGGTAAACTTGTTTACATTTAGATTTTCTGTTAAATAATAAGTGTCTTTAGCTAACAAGCAAACAGATAAAAATAGAAAAGAAAGAAAGCAAGAAAGAAAGAAAGCAAGAAAGAAAGCAAGAAAGAAAGAAAGAAAGAAAGAAAGAAAGAAAGAAAGAAAGAAAGAAAGAAAGAAAGAAAGAAAGAAAGAAAGAAAGAAAGAAAGAAAGCCAAATGACAACACTAATATAATTTGTTAAAGGGGTGATCCACTACGATATCATATTTTAAACTTTAGTTAATGTGTAATGTAGCTGTTTGAACATAAACAACATTGGAGACATTGGTGTTTACAGAGATAGCTTAGCAAAGCCTACAGTAAACAAAGTTTGGTGACTACAAAAAATACATCCGGGTTAGTGAAATCACAAATGCTTCAGGTTACACTCATTCACCACACGTGTACAACCTGCGCAGTGGCCAGAGGCACTGTAATGTTATAGCAGAGAAAGCTAAAATGCCTTCCAAATGCTGCTCTTTCCACAGAGCTTCTTCTGTTTCTGTAATTGGACTTCCAACGGAAACAACATGAAAGAAGTGCTTACAATTTAATTTTAATTATGTTCCAGAGAATAATAAAAAAATATCTCCCAGTTCAGTGCTGGATTTGGCTAAAAACTCCTCAAAGAAGGAGCAGCTCCAACTATAATAGAAGAAGCTGTGGATTGTGAGCCACAACCTGTAAGTGTTTTTATTTGTTAAAATTGATCTATTATATGCGTAGTGTTTATCGTTACTGGTATGTGGTAGCAAGGACAAAAACAATGGGAAATGTTGTTTGTCACCACTAACAATTTAGCTACAATTGCCAGCAGAGAAATTACAATGATCGTGACCAACTGAGTCTGATTTCTCTCAAGGTTTTTTTTCTTCACTCTCGCCAATTGGTCAAGTTTTTTTCCCTCTCTGCTGTCACCACTAGCTTGCATGGTTTGGGATTTGTAGAGTTACACATCGATGGATTTGCTGTTCAGTGTTTAGGCCTTTAATAGTGACTAATAAACCACACTGAACTGAACTTCAACACTAAATTCTACACTGTTTTAATTTACTATGATTTTTTATGTGAAGCTGCTGTGACACAATCTACATTGTAAAAGTGTTATACAAATAAAAGTGAATTGAATTTAATTGAAAATTGATATTTAAATCCCTGTGAAAACTGCAGTGCTGCAGTGTCTACAGTGTCTCTCTATGCTGCTGCTTTCCGTGCTTTCTACGTCTCAAATAATGAACTCGCAAAAGATATGTGAACGTTTCACATTACTTGTTTACAACCTGAATATATGTGAAAGACACTTGTCAGATTTTAGCTTTGTCCTCTAAGACAGATAACAGCTACTCTGATTGACAGTATTTACATAGCATAAAAGCATGTGCTATTAAAGGCGTGGCACTTTTCCTAATGACGTGGAGCCGGTTCACAGCACATTATGTTAGCTGACCAATCAGAGCCTCTTGAGGGTGGGTCTTTCAGAGGAATAAAGAAATATGATGTTTTCATGTTAGCTGAGTAGCTGTATAAAATCAAAGTAAGATCAATAAAAAATTATGTGATTTATTAACAAATTAGCATGAGCACACACTGCCTTGCATCTCATAAACACAAGCAAACCTTAAAATTATGTTCTGGACCACCCATTAACATTGTTAACATTAGTTAAACTAACAAAGACAATATTTTACAATTCTTATCAAACTTAATCTACATGATCTTATCAACATTTTCAAATAGTTCATTTATTAACAAACAATAGTGAAGTTTATGATTAGCTCATGCCATTGAATGTGTTAGCAGTCAAACCATTTAAAATTATTTTGCATTTATTTAATTCATTAATTCATCGTGCATTAATGCAAATACACATTTTTTAAATGCGCAAATTCTGTAAATGATCAAAATGTCTCACTGTGATTAGAACAAATTAGGTTCATATTAGACTACAAGTGAAACTGTATCTGTATATAATTGGAGACATGTTTCATTTTTGTCTTGCACCTTTTTAATTTTTTTTTTCTTGCAGTGTTCTTTTCATTATGAAGTCATGCCACACACTAGCATCTGGCTAATCTTGCTTTGTGAATATATCCAGATACAAAGCAACAAATGAATTTGTGCCAAAATCCTGAAGCCAAGTGCTTTATGATGCACCTTATAAAACGTGGTAAACATCCACTTATTTAACTGACGCAGTAAACCATCTATACTTAAACTAACCAAGTCAGTGGTTTCCTACCTCTCTCAGTGTGGTTAATGTAAGCAGGGCATTGGTTTCAACAAAACATTCTTCTTGTGTCTCTGAACAGAGCACTGAAGAATAATTGCGCACCAAAAATAAACTCATTAAACTTCCTTTCCCATGTTCTTCGGAGAGCATGTATGTATTTTTATGGGAAGCACAGAATCTTCAGCTGCAAATGTCAAAATACAGACTCTCACATAAATCATCTGATAAATGAGAGGAAAATCCTATATACAGTAGAAGCAGGAAAGGAGTTTTCACTTCCGGCTTCCTAAGAGAGTTTTTGATAGCATTGCCTCATGAAACACTAATGATTTGGTCTATGTAGTGCATTTTTATTATATATGAGAAGACCATTATTAGGTGTTTTCTGCCAGCAAATACTGTTATATCTATGTATTTATGTTATCCTACTGCATCTAGTTAAATAAATGACTCAATTTATAGTAAATAAAATGCTTTACTGTCACTTTTGTACAAGGTAATATGCGCTTGAAAAGATTACGCTTTTTGAGTGGTATTTTTGAATGGTACTGCTGTAAAAAAATGCGTTTCTTGCTTAGATTTTTTTTGTCTTGTCTTTTTTGTCTATGTTTCTAATCCAAATATCTAAAAATTCTTAAATCAAGAATCATTTTCTAGACAAATAAAAATATTGTTTGTTTCAAGAAATAATATGTGAAAATGAAGTGAGTTACCTAAGGGACAGAACTGTGTAAACTGTGTGTGTTTATGTGTGCATGTCTAATTGTGCACGCAAGGTACACAATACACACAAAAGCAACATTTTTATCCATGAATTCCATTAAGACTACCCATTTCCATGAGTTCTTACTGCTGACACACATCTAGCTTGAGCAAGCACTTCTAGACAGAGGTGGTGGTAATATTTTGTGCACACAGACTTTCTTATCTTAATAAAGCATTAAAATATGTTGCCAAAACAAACACACAAAAAAGTAAAGTAGTAATAACATACATTAGAACAGCTGTTCATCTGAGCAACTTTAAAGGTGATATCTTTGTGTTATTTATTTTTTGAACAGTCAGATTCCAGATTTTCACATTTTTATCTCGCCCAAACATTGTCTTATTCTAAAAAGTATACATTAATGGAGATATTATTTATACGGCTTTTGAGTACTGTATAAATCTCAATTTTAAAAAAAGATGGTCCAGAGTAAAATACAGTTGAAGTGAAAAGTATTGTCAAATACTGATGTCAAAATTTTATTATTTAAAATGATTTGCCATAATATATAAATATAACAATATATACATATTTCCACATAATAGTTTTAATAATTTTTTTTATTTATATATAATTTTACCATATAACAAACAGCACAATTTAGAAAAAGAATATTCAGCATTAAGTAGCATCAGAGTATACAAATATAAAACAAGTAAATCATCAAATCCAGGTTATGTTACTAGATTAAAACAGAAATCAAATAGCAGCATATGAATAGTCAGTGTGATAACAATGGGTATTATGTAGGCACTGGGCAAAGGTTTCATAAAGGGTACAAAAATATATTCCAGGTATCTAAAAATATGCAAGTTTTGCTTTTTAAGCGATATGTTAAATATTTCAAATGCAGTGTGTCCTTGAGGATATTTTTAAATAATTCAAATGTTGGAGGGAGTTCCTGTTTCCAGTTTAACAGAACACATTTCCTAAATACATAAGAAATCAGACCTATACGGTGCCATTCAAGTCCACCACAAAAAGAGATATTAAAAGAGTCTTGTGATATTTCTTTCTCAGGCCCATCACAGAAAACTCACGTACAGTATCCCAAAATTCATTTAGTTTTTAACAGTTCCAAAAAATATGCATAATGCATATGCTTCTTGTATCTTTTACACAAAGGCAATGCACCGGGATATATCTCACTGAGACAAACTGGGGTCAAATATATTCTTTGTATAAATTTGTAATTTTGTTCAGCTATGTTGTTACTAGAAAATGAAAAAGATACACATTTGTTTACAACATCCCTCTGATCATCATCAAAATTACAACCAAGGTCTTTTTCCCATACATTATTTAGAGAGATTAAAGAAGAATCAGCTTGGTCTCTTAAGATTGCATACATCTCAGATATCTTTCCCTTCAACGTTAAAGTATTCTCTAAAAACTAACTTCTAATAACTAATTTCTTTTTATATATATTTTTTTTATAATTTCTAGTTTTTGCCACGATGACACTACATACTATTTTCCTCCTCATTTTGCAAGATACTGGAATCCAGCTTAAATTGAATGGAATTTAAGACTTAACTAGGTTAATTAGGTTAACTAAGCAAGATTGGAAAATTAGGCAAGCTATTGGATAACTGGGGTTTGTTCTGAGGCCAATCAAAAAAATAAATAAATAAATAAGGGGGCTAATAATATTGACCATAAAAATTTTTTTAAATGCTTTTATTTCAGCCTAACTAATTGAAATGAGACTTTCTCTAGAGGAAACAAAATATTATAGAAAATACTGTGAAATTTTCCTTGGCCTATTAAACATAACTTGGGAAATGTTTAAAAAAAATAACTCAAAAAATTCAACAGCAGTGTTAATAATTTTGACTTTCACTGTGTGTAATCCGTTGTCTTTCTGACTGCTAACAAATCATTATCTTGAATAAAAACAACTAACTGGCTAATCTTTCTCAACCTATAATGAATATCAGCAGCTTTTAGTAAATGTCAAACAAAGCCCATTACCTTTGCTCTGGCTTCTCTGGACGCTTCAGCCTCGGCTGCCATTGCTCTCTGCAGCTGCAGGGGCAGTTTAACATCCTTAATCTCCACACGCTCCACCTTAATACCCCAGTCATCTGTGGCATCATCCAGTGTAGACTGAGGGAGAAAAAAACAGAGTTAAACCCAAACAGAGAATCCTCAAAGCCTCAAGCTCCACAAGTTTAAAGCACACTGCCAAGAGTGCCTGCCATAAACAATGTTCTCCACAGTTTTGTAAAGGATGTCAGAGCGAACAGCGGGCCACGTGTGAATTAGTACTGCAGTCGAAATGGATAAGTCGACATTTCGGCTGAGCTACTGTGAATCACTGCCTGAAGATATGAAATGTCTGCTGGAATCAGGTCTTGGCCAAAATCAACTCAATGAGAGATGAGGGTCTAACTTGAGTTTTAGGGTGTTCCATTCCTTTAAACAACTTGCATTTGTGTTGGGATACAATCGATTAAAGGGTTAGTTCACCCAGAAACTTATATTTCTTCATTAACCAGTTAAGCTCTGGCCTTTCGATTTAAAAAGCTTCCCATACCCACATGCAGAGGTGTAAATACAAAAGTTGGGTATCATTTGAAAGGAAACCTTTTGAAATTTCATAAAATACAGTTGAAATTGAAAACAATTGTTGTATATATTGTCTGTGTTATAATAAACGCACAAAAAAGGCGCTTTTTTTTAATAAACTGAAGTTTGGAAATGTGTAACTCAGGCCTTCAGTGCTCCAGCACCCTGGAAACATTATATTTCTTTTCAGCAGGTGTCAGCAAACAAAGGAAAAATTATTTTTTTTCTTTATAATAGTGTATGTAGGAGTTATTCTATTCCAACTGCAAGGAGGAAAAATGCCTTTTTTTATTTCCGCCTATCTATTTTTTAAGTCTTCCCATACCCTCATACAGTACAATAAATGCAATATCTCAATGTCATTTTACAGAAAACCCTTTGAAATTACAAATAGAACTGCTGAAAGTGCTAAATATTATTATATATGTTGTGTGTCCTATGCTGAACCACCTCAACACAAACCGCTTTTAGTTTTTTTGTTCTAAAGCCTGATTTAGAAAGTGTATAACTCAGGCCATGTATGCTCCATCAAATTGCAGATTATTTGGATTGTTACCAGCATTTGTCAGGAGACACTTGAAAAAAGAATTTTGTTTTTATCATGTAGTATGGAATTATTATTTTAGTTCAACCGAAGAGTGGGAAATCACTACTTTTTCGCGTATGATCTGTGACTTTTACGCACTCTGTTTTGAACACCTCTCTTCCCGTTTGTCATGCAATATCTCAGTCACTGATTGGCTGATCAAGGCTCGCGATACATCAGCATAAAGCAGAGAATTTCTAATGATACATAATCCATCTGGATACTTTATCCTATTTTCCCGAATTTTGGAATATCATGACCCTAATTGGTTGCGTTTGGCACTTACAAGACACAGCAGGGGCTTACACACATCCTCAGAAAATGCTAAAAATGGACCAATTTTGAAGAGGACAACCTAAGGTAAAAGATCATGTAGCTTGTTTGGCTATCTATGCTATCTCCGGCAGCTTACGGAGCAAAAAATCAATTTCCCTTGTATGTTTACAAAATACGAGTTTATACTTTATGATTCATTCGAAGACTCTTGGATATGTGATTGTAAATCAATAAAAATAACGATGGATCCTTATTATTGGGAATGAGAGCTTTAATTTGATGTATTACCTGCCAATATGTGTCTGATGTGTAAATAACTTCGGTACAGTAAAACAAATATCAAAGTGATGTGTATCAGTTGAAAATAGACATTCTAAGCTTTCACCCAGTAGGTCATATGGTGTTATTGATGCAGACAGACCTCTTTAATCTGTAGTTATTCTCTCGATGACGTCATTTTGTCCCCGGTACCGGGCACGCAGAGTTTAACTGGTTAATTACTCACCCTCACGCCATTCCAATTGTCTATAGTGCTTTAAATCAATATTTCTTATCCATGACTGATAAGCTTATTTATTTTAATTAATTCATTAATGCATTAATTATATTTTAATGTCATATCAGCAGCATTGTCTACATTCAATGCCAAAATCTATAGTAATATATATACAGGCCCGTAGCAAGCCTAGTGAATGGGGGGGGGGGGGGTCCTTTTCTCTAAAAGTGGACCTTTTTGCCACATTTTGGATTTGATTAAGAAATTTAAATGCATTTAATTTTGGTGACATTTTATGATATATTTTGTGCTGGATTAGCTTGTCTTTTCATGTGGATAATTTTTGCAGTACCAAAAATAATGACTGTTTTGTCAAATCAAATAGCTTAATGGGATCATGTGCGCATTTTATCAGTCAAACACACACTACATGTAATTTTTTATATTTTTATAGTGACTTCCTGTAGAGGTAGCCATATGGCGAAATTCAATAATGCAATGTGTTGTAATAACCAATATGCACAATATTGATAACAATTATTTTAACTTTTAAAATATATTCAGATTGTGTTAGTGGTTGTTCATCACAACACCACATGCTTGAAAATTTAAGAGGTGATTTATATTCAGACAGACTAATTTTGCACTTTACGCGTGTCTGGCTGTAACCGACAGGTATTTCTAAACAGGCACAGGTCAGATTTTCATTAGGTCATAATTAATTTAAATAAAATAAATTTTGTCTAAAAAGTAATAATTATACCCATCCAGTTTAATCTAGAATGTGTGCCAGACCACCTTCTGAAGTTGTCCAAGCGATTGGGTTTATATCCGATCAGATTAAAATGAATGAAGTGACCCATGTGTAAACAGCCTCAATAATATGGACTTGAGGGGGTTAGCAGCTTTTGCTGTGAAGAGACAGCTGACGACTCTGCTTTGTAATAAAGCCTCCATTGGACAGTTATTTTCCAAAAAAAAATTATGGCAACAATAGAAAATGGGATGGCACAAGACAAATCAATAATGCTCAATATACAGGACATCCCGGGCTAATGCGGGCAATTAGTCTAGAACCTCATGGTAGAGACAGATTGTCATCTGTAACATAAGTAAGTAACATTAGCCGTACCCTGTTTGGCAGTCTTTTTGAACATATGTTTAATACTTTGAGACAATGACGCTGCTGCCTGCTTTCTCTTCCGTCTCTCTTTATTGTTTTGACCCATGACGTTACTCGTTATGTATGAGGATGTTGCATTCAAACGTTTCATTCGGTGGGCTGTGTCATCTGATTAACGTCACATTATTGTGGCTTTAAGGGCTCCATGGGATTCGAATTACAGGCCATAGTTATTTAAAATTAAAATTACACTTTATTATGATATAAATAAACTATTATTATTATTTATTACATAAAATAATTAAAAATGCCAAATTCTGGACCTTTTGGCTGTGGGGGGGTGGGTCGTTCGAATCATATATATATATATTATATATATATAATATAGTACAAGGTAACATAGTCATTTATTTATTTAGCATAGTAGTTATTTAGTCATTTGGCAGACACTTTTGTTTAAACGAAATTACAATTAAGGAGGCATACAGCGATTCAACAAGAAGAGACAATATACAAAAGAAGTGCTAAATGACTAAATGACTATGAAAGTAAACGGCGACAGGTTTCTAACATTCTTCAAAACCTCTTCTTTTATGCTTAGTATAAGAAATCAACTCTACTGTTTTGAACAAGGGTGAGTAAATGACGACAGACTTTTCATGTTTGTGTGATCTATCCCTTGAAGGTCAATGATTCATTGGTTAATCGATCATTAATTTAAAAAGTGCTCATTATTTGGATTTGTGTAAATTGCCATCTCTGTTTGCATTGTTTGTGTGTGTATACTGTGGTACCTGCATGCTGTGTGCGATCTCCTCCCGGTCAGACAAGATCTCTGCCAGGTTCTTTGTTCCCAGCACATTCCTCAGAGTGGTTTGTGCCAGCAGACGAGTGGCAGCATCAGCATTGGTGATGTTGGCGACTGCAAGAGTTGCGTTTTGCACGCGGTAGTAAACCACACCATCTACACTCACTGTCACAGAGTCCTTAGTCAACACCTGTAGGGATCAATTAAACCAGATTATTTGATCAAGAATAACTGGGTTTCTGTAACAACAACAACAACAACAACCAAAAAGAGAACTACACTAGCAGTCAAACATTTGTAATAATTACAAAATAATTTATGGTTTTTTTTTCATCTATTTTTCCTATGATAACCAAGGCTGCATTTATCTGACCGATAATAGAGAAAAATATAGAACATAAATAACTATAAACTATTTGAAATAACATATATGGAAAATATATACAAATACGGTGCATGTGGAAAGTATTCACAGCGCTTCACTTTTTTCACATTTTTTATGTTTCAGCCTTATTCAAATATAGATTAAATTCATTTATTTCCTCGAAATTCTACACACAATGCCCCATATTGACAATGTGAAAAAAGATTTTTTTAAATTGTTGTAAATTTATTACAAAAAACCCTGAAAAATCACATGAACAGATTGTACACAAGTGTTCACAGCTTTAATACTTTGTTGATGCACCTTTGGCAGCCTCAAGTCTCAAGTCTTTTTGAATTTGATGCCACAAGCTTGGTACACGTCTTTGGGAATTTTTGCCCATTCCTCGTTGCAGTACCTCTCAAGCTCTATCTGGTTGGATGAGAAGCAACGGTGTACAGCCATTTTCAGATCTCTCCAGAAAGGTTTAATAGGATTTAGGTCTGGGCTCTGTTGTTCAGAAAGCCACTCAATTGACATTTTGGCTGTGTGCTTTGGGTCATTGTGCTGCTGGAAGATGAACTGTCGCCCCAGTTTGAGGTCACTCTGAAGCAGGTTTTCATTCAGGATGTCTCTGCACATTGCTGTATTAATCTTTCACTCTATCCTAACTAGTCTTCCAGTTCCTGCTGCTGAAAAACATCCCCACAGCATGATGCTGCCACTACCATGCTTTACTGCAGGGATGGTATTAGCCTGGTGATGAGCGGTGCCTGGTTTTCTCCAAATGTAACGCCTGGCATTCACTCCAAGGAGTTCGATTTTAGTCTTAGACCAGAGAATTTTGTTTCTTATGGTCTGAGAGTCCTTCAGGTTTCTTCAGATGTCGACCCTGGGACCTTATAGACAGGTGTAATCCTTATCAAATCATGTCCAATCAACTGAATTTACCACAGGTGTACGCCAATAAAGCTACTAAAACATCTCAAGAATGATCAGTGGAAACAGAATGCACCTAAGCTCTGTTTAGAGCTTCACAACAAAGGCTGTGTATACTTACATGTGGTTTTTCCAATTTTATATTTTTAATAAATTTACAACAATTTAAAAAAAATCTTCTTTCACATTATGTCATTATAGGGTATTGTGTGTAATTGGGTGCTTAAGAAATATTTATTATTATTTTATTTTTCAAGAAATATAGAATAAAGAATATTTTCAGCAAGGACACATTAAATTCGACAAAAGTCACACAAAAGTCATATACATATTAGTGCTGGGCAAAGATTAATCATGTTTAATTACATCCAAAATAAATGTTTGTTTTGACATAATATATGTGTATTTTATTTATTCAGTATGCATGTATAAATACACACATGCAGGCATTCATACATTTGAAATTTTTTTTATTTATATTTAATATAAACATATATATATATATCCATTTAAATATATAACAAGGGGTGGCACGGTGGTGCAGTAGGTAGGAGGTCACTGCTTCGAGCCCCGAAAGTCCGTAGTGTATGTGTGTATGTCCTGGTCCTCCAGGTTGGGGGTTGGGCATTGGGTTAACAACACACCTCGTAAAAATTAGATGTTACAAAACACCAACATGGTGCGGCTAAATTTTAACTTTGATATAAACTGCCCAGGGAGTAAGTAAGAGTAAATATTTAACAAAATTGTTAATTGTAAAATTTTGTTTTCTTGTATGTGTGCATTAGTGCATCATATATACATAATAAATAAATAAATAAATAAATAGATAAATAAATAAATAAATAAATAAATAAATAAATAAATAAATAAATAAATAAATAAATAAATAAATAAATAAATAAATATAAAATACACATATATATTATGTTAAAACAAACTCTTATTTTGGATGAAATTAATTATGATTATTTATATAATGTGAAATCACTTTTCAACAATAAAATACTATGAAAGATAAATTTTTTTGTAGCTTTGAAATTGAATAAGAGCTATTAACCATTAGTAATAAATGAGCACGTGTAATAAATGCGCACCAAATCAGTATGTATGAGTATAACAGAACATTTAAAGAGGCTATGTAAATTATGCACTGCTAGTGACAAGAAACAGCCCACCAAAACTTTTAAACAAGCTCCCCAAACACTCCGACCACCTGCTTGCCCAATCTTGTTTGGTTATCCATCTACAGATGGCTTATTTATACTCTCTGTATACTGTAGTCTTTGCACAACTATTTGGCAAATGTAATAACATAGTAAAAATGATATGCATCTCCTTTCAGCTGATGCTGGTCATGAGATGAAACACAGGCTGATGTAAAGAAGTAGTGTTTGTACATATTTCTCACCTCCTGAGGCGGGATATCAAATGTAATGGTGCGCATGTCCACATTGATAAAGCTGTCTGTGCAGGGTAAGATGAAGAATAGACCTGTACGGAAAAAAAATACACACACACAACAGAAAAATGAAAGCAGATGAAAGAGCATCAGAGGAAGAAAGAGCATGATAATGATCAGGAGCTCTCAGAAACACAGAGGAGATCTTGAATAAGTACACAACTGGCGACCGGCCAAATTCCAATCCACGACTAACTGGAATCATCTGACTGCATTCATGAGTGTAATGAATGATCACACTGACATCTGCTCTGATGCTTTACAGTACTGAACACTTGCATCACTTTACAGGATTGGATTTTTTGTTGTTGTTGCTGCTGAATATTGAATTAGAAAAAAAATCATGAGCTATATATTAAACATTTTATAAAATGCATTTTAATATGAATGATATTTGTGCTCAGATAAAATTATTACTTTATTATATTAAATAATAAGATTATTGCATCATCAAGGCTCAATCCCAATGCTATTTTTGTACCCCTACCCCTTCCCTTTACACCTTGAAACAGACTGTGAAGGGGGAGGGCTTCAAAATTTACCCCTAAAAAATGGGACAGCACTACAGCACCTGTACACGTTATCATCATGTGTCATCGCGATCTCATGCTTCATATTAAATCGACGATCGTGACTGCTGTAGTGATTCCAGTTGCGTTATTTGGGGGTATTTATCTATTTATAGGAAATCACTGAAGGCAATGATATCATGTTATCATAACAATATAATGTGGCAATGAGATCGTAACTGTACTGTGCATTTACACCGTGGCCATATTCATCTCTGTAAACACACAAAAACAACATCAACATTATAGCAGACACTGTAAAAAGGTCATTCCCAGCCACTAGACTTTTCTGAAAGGGTATTCGAGTGTTAAAATGTTGTGGGACTGCTATACAGGAACTATGGATTATAGATAGCGTTATTATTTTAGCGTTTTTTTAAACCATGACGGTAAAACATGAACGCTATTATTAATGTGTATTTGTATATTTTGTATATATGTATATTTAATGTTGTAAAAATTCATAATGACAAAAAAATACTGATTTGTGAATCTCCTGACTTCTGTGTGCATGGTGTATTCTACAAAATTTCCGTACCAATTGGTTTTCAGTGTGGAGACCCCAAGTGGTACTCCGTTTCAAGGGGTATTTAGCCCTTGCCCGTTGCCCTACACCTTTAAGCTAAAGAGACTCCCTTACCCCTTTACGTAAACGCTCAAAATGAGGGATAGGGGTAGAATCGGGATTGGTCCCAAATAATATTTTGCAAAACATTCTAATTTCAGATATTTTTTTTATTTTGATATATTTAAAAACAAAAACATTAATTTAACTGTTATTTAGTCAAGCAATTTATGTTTGCAAAAATTATTTAAAAATTAAGTAAACAAACTATACATCTGCCACTGTAATAAAATTAATCAATTAATTTAATGCAATTTTATCTTATAGACTCCTGATAATACAGTAGTCAGCATTTTAAGTGGATCAAACACTTTTTTATAATAATAAGACAAAAATGGGTGTTGTTGAACAGTTTTAGAACAACCTTACTGAAAGATCCACTTCAAATGTTAACTACTGTATACATAGCATGATTACTAAAAACATTTTACATATTACAAATAAACCCTCAGTTTTAAATTTTTTAAGAACAGCTAAAAAGCTTCTTTAATACTCTACTACAGAACAAAATTTACCTACAACTTTACTGGTCTGAAGACAAATAAACTAACAGCAAAGTTGAATTTTTGATTGAACTAGCCCTTTAAATGAAAAAGCATGTCCGGGCAAAAGAAAAACGCTGAGAAAAGAAAGAACAAAAACTCTTTAGAAAAAAAAGAACAGTTTAACAATATGCAAGAGAGCACGTCTTTGTGTGTGTGCCCATGTTTCAGTTGTAATTAATATCTTCCATTTGTCATCATACAGTTTCTAAACAAATCTGGGAGGTTTTCCAGAGTCATTCAGAGGTTTGTATACTCCACTGTGGAAAATTCCGGTCACATTCCGGCCCTAAATACAGCCGTGGAGGAGGGGTCCACTGCTAATTGTTTGCAGACCCCAGTTGCCTCAAAAGAAGACCAAGGAAACAAACTTTCTTCTCAGACCCAAACTAAAGTATAAATTAAATCTACAGTATATTCAATTTATTGCTTCAAAATGCTGGGTTCCACACAATTCCTTCATGTCATCCCAACACAAATCCACTAAATTAACTTAACTGTTTTTATAAATTTAAGTGGATTAAACATAAAACAAGTAAGTTGTCACTACCAGGAAACTCTTAAGTATTGTATTGTTTCAACTTATTTTAAATTAGTAGTTTAAACAAACAGCAAAGGTAATTTTTTGAGTGCATTGAAAAGGTTTGCTAAAGAAAGCTTACAGCAATAAGCTTCTGTTGACATTGGGGTCATAAGAGGGATAAAGTCAGTGGAGTAACTCTAATAATAGACACAACCCTCATCAGTTCATTTCAGGAGGGAAAGCCCTGGGATTCATATTCCAAAACACAGCACGGACAAGTACATACTAGAGACGCCACCTTTGTGACTGTTTGAATGGATTTGACCACATGTGTGTTGACATTATGAAGCAATCCAATTGAGTGAGTTTTCAACGACCTCTGGAATTTTTCACAAGCGCTAGACAAAGTTAAGACATATTTTTGAAAATCTTTTTTTAAGGCATTAAATTTTTGTTGCAAATCTATTAACTAAAAACTAAACGCAAATCTGCTTTCATAGATGTGTAATATGTTGTGAGAAAGTTCACCATAACAAAATACAGGAGAGGACATGGCCATTGTGACTTCATAAATTGTTACCTCCGGTCTGTCATTTACTTTCACTGATTTTCAGCTCTACAAAGCAGGTCGTTGTGCTGCTTCAAGCTACGATTTTCTCATCATATTATGATATTAATGGATTGACATAAACACATTAAGCTCGTCATGATTTTGCCAAGTACGATGCGATCCTGGATTAGCATTTACAATGATCCTGAAACATAACTTTTGCTCAAAAATGTAACCCATTGTTATTCCCTATCCAAAACCCAACCATAACTGTAAAATATTCTTAAAACCAGAGGGGAATAATAGTGGATAATAATGGATAATAATCATGTAGAAATGCATAAATCTAAGCCTAAGCTTAACATAAACCGTAATACTTTTAATGTTTATGTTAAGTTTAGGCTTAGGTTTATTATGCATTTCTACATGATTGTTATCCATTACAATCCACTATTATTCCTCTCTGATTTTAAGAATATTTTAATTCTGATTGTTGATTGGAATGTTGTTCCATGATCAACATAGATGTTAATCCAGGAACATGGGTGAAATCAGGCTGGCGAACACGCTAATGCTGGGTTCCACACAATTCCTTCATGTTCTCTTAATACAAATAGATTAAGTTAACTTAATCGTTTTTACAAATTTGAAAAAAATTGGCCTGAACATAAAACAATTAACTTGTCCCTAAAAACCTTTAAGAATTCTGTTGTTTCACTTTAAAGTACTTTAAACAAGAACCAAGTCATTTATGCGTAGCACTAAAAGTTTTATCTTTAACAGTTATTATTTTACCCATACCAACAAATAAATCTAAAAACATTAGCAGAAAAGAGCTTACTTGCCTTGCTAAATGAGTTGGATAATTTACTGCCTTGTACCGAAACGCTTGAATTCATACTTGCGAAGAAAATGAGCCAACAAAAAAAGCTTGTCAGTCTAGTCTTGCAAGCATTCACCATGTTGTGTAGCTAAATCCAAGAAGTGAGACACAAAACTAATTAGAAGTAACTAAAATATACACCGAGAACCAGGTAGTGCAGGACACGGCACCAAACTTGGATAGCACTGAACCAAATTAAACTTATCCAGGATTATTGTAGATTTTGATTAGCCAGCCTGAGCATTTCTTGGGAATTGTCCTGTTATTCTATACTAGCCATGTTAGGTAAAATCAATTCCTGATTGAGACACGTTTAATGTGGGTCAAATACCAGACAAGAAGCTCTGCATCAAATCATATCTTTAAAATATAAACATTTATATTAGCAGTGTTTTCTATGGTTGTACACGACAGTATTTAATGCTCGGCTGCTGACCCTCAATCTTTTTCTTCTCGTTTTTTGGTTAACAACCAAATGAATGCTTAAATCTATTTAACTGACCATATTCTGATTATAATCTACTATAAAATACTAATTTAACAGCATTGGAAATGTTGTAATGTAATTGATAAAGGGATAGTCCACCAAAAAATGAAAACGTACTCATCGTTAAAAAAAAGAAGATATTCTGAAAAATGCTTGTTGATGTACCCATTGATATCCACATTTGGACAAAAATTACCATGGAAATCAATAGATACCATGAACAAGCATTCATCAAAGTGTTCTTAATAAACAGAAGAAAAGGTTGAGTAAATGATGACAGAGATTTCATTTTTTGCATAAACAATCCCTTTACAGAAACATGAGGATAAAGCCACAGCAATCTTTCACCGGATGTTTTTTCTAAAAAATGCTTCATGGCCAAGTCAGTTGAGAGAAATGGGAAAAGGGAATTACATCAAATTAAACACAGAAATAAGGAACACAAACTAAAACAACATAAGCACATTTTACCTAAGTTATTATAGATGTAAGTTCCAAAAAAATAAATTGATCAATAAATTAGAAAATCGCCCAGACAACCAGATACAAAATCCTCAACAAAAGATGGCTTAATGGTAAAAGGGCCACTAACAAAATGGAGGGTTATAAGACATCTGATCTTTTTTTTTTTATAAGACTGGAGTACTGATCTTGAGATTTGTGATTAACTTGACATTACAATCTAAGACATTAACACCTTTCTATAGCTTTTACTTTTATGCAAGGTTATGGTGTGCTATAACGAACACCTGAAATAAAACGTGGTACTTTCAAGATACTATAATATTTTACAGAAGACCAGTATTTTAAATATAGTTCAGTTTCTATTGCATTTGAGCACGATTTTTGTTTTTCAGAATATACAGTAGCATGACTTTAAAAAAATGTGGTTTATTCAGGTCAGCAGAAATGCAAAACAGATCACTTCTGTTTCTCTTCAGAGCAAGCTTTTTTTATTTTTTGCCTTTGTCAAAAGCAGGCATTGTGGTGAACGGCCACAAAACAAATGCAAACAAGGGGACTGCAAAAAGTATCACACTTAACCACACACATGACACCATCACAAGTGTGTTCACTGATAATGTTTTTTTTTTATCACATGATATCAGCGATTTAATCAGAGCAATCAAATTATATTGATTTTGTTTTACCTGGTCCTTTGGCTCCTCCTCGTAAAATGCGTCCCAGGCGAAAGATGATTGCCCGTTCATATTCCTTCACTATCTGCAGGAACAAGAAGTATTTATATCTCATAAAAAGAGCTAAATTACACCTCTTTAAAACAGAGGAAGGTAAAAAGGCCTCTCAATTACATACTTTAGATGTTGCATGGCAACCTTTATCATGCTTTCGTCATCTTCTCTTTAAAGATAAAGATGATAAAGATAAGGCTTCAAACTTCAAGAAAATTTTGATTTACAGATAAGGGAATGATTGGCACAACCTGGTGGATTTTTCCAAATATGCATTCCAAATAATAATAATTATAATAATAATAATAATAATAATAATAACAAATAAATTGTGCACTCGTGAATTTCTTAGACATTTCGACATGATCAGTGTTGCCAGATTGAGCTTTTTCCCGCCCAATTAGGCGGTTTTGAATACGCCTGTGCAGTGTTTCAGTGAGACCTGGTTATGTTTTGGTTCTGTGACTGCTGGTGTTGGTTGCTGTATGGTTATAAATTATGACAGTCAAAGTTACTAGGTTAATTTTTAATTACTAGGCTAAATCAATTAAAATTAAATAAAATATTAATCTAATACGTTGAGTATTTTTTGTGCGTTTGGATGGTTTTCGACAGCTTTTGGGCTGGAAAAAGTCAGGTATATGTGGCACCACTGTACATGATTAATAATAATCATTAATAATCATCAAAAAGTTGTGCATATGTAGATTTATTTTAGATTGCGCAATTTAAAGATGATATTATTGGACATTTAATCTTACATGTGTATTTCAACTATATAACACTCAATAAAAGTTTCTAAATAAAGCTAATAATTACAATATAATTTTCAATAAAATTTGGCACATAATAAAATTGTGATGCTGGCTACATTGATTTGCAGCATTCAAGGGAGCATATTTCATTATAGTTTGACTCAATAATTATTATTTTTAAAGGTCCCATGAAATTAAAATAAAAAAACAGTAGATATTAGTTTTAAGGATATCTATAAGCTAGTGTGCTCCAAAACAGAGACTAAATTCGCGTTTAGAAAATATAAAACTAATATAAACATCCCAAGCGTGCAATTTGTCATTTCCGCCTAAATGGATCAACAATTTGGCTGATTAGCTGCTGAACTCATCATATACATCGTATTTTTGTTTTGTTTTATGTGGCTGCACACAGTCAGTTGCCTTTTGGAATTATTTCCTACAATTGACAGATAATATGGCATGCTATGTGCACTTCATTGTGCTCACAAATCATTTAAGTGGCCTTCATTTCCCAGCTGAGTGAAATTACATACTTATATACTATAACTATAAACAGGGCCGGAGTGGGACACCTTTTCAGCCCTGGAGTTTCAAGCCTCAGACCGGCCCACCTCAGTTCACGACTGACTATATTAAAATAAGGTCATTTCCAATTCAGTTTCTAATGACACTATCACGTCTTTTTTTTTAAAAAAAACAGCTGCTTTAGAACTTCAAATGTTCAACAACCCTAACAGTATTATATGTCTTAACAATAAAAACGAAAACATTAAGTTACTCTAAAGAGGATCGAACCCGGGTCCGCGGCGTCTTAACCTAACATGTTAACCGCTGGACCACAATAGCTGTGTTCAGATCAGAGACACAACTGAGTTTTATAATCATTAAAATAGATGAAAAGAGAAGAGTTGTGGTAAAATAATGAATAAAAAGGCTGTGGTCAAGTAAATAAATAAATTTGAAAAGTGTGACTGCTGAGAGCAAAAGATTCTGGAGCTACGGACACCGGCCCTTGCAGCCAAAAAACGGACCGGCCCACCGGGAATTCTCCCGGTCCTCCCGATAAGCCAATCCGGGCCTGACTATAAATGTATTTGTTTTACTAAAGATAATTTATCATTCTGTAATGCACTCCAGAATCTGACAGATTGATTAGCAGTAGACTATAGAACAGTTATCTGAAACGTTGTCATACAGTGTTAGGCCTGGATTTCAACAATAGCCTTGCATTTACTAACAAAGATTATATTTGAAGTATTTGGAAGTCATTGGCGTTTTCCTCCTGTAGAAAAACGTAATGAGTACAATGTTTAGTGGCTCAATGTATTACGTTTTTAAAAGACTAAACACTTTATCAATATGCACAACCAAGCACAAGTGAAGTATTAAGCGTTTCTCCCAAAGATAAGAATGTTTGAGCAAAATGTTAGCAGGTGTCTGTAGCACCACTCACGCTCCGCCTTTTTGCCCTTATTTGGTATCCCCCGGTCGATGACATGACACGCAAACAAAATCGCGATGGTTGGCCACGCCTAATTGTAGCTTAATTTGCGCTTTTCAGAAACTATGGGTGATGTCACGGATACTACCTCCACATCCTTTACAGTCTATGGCTTGACCTCAACCACTCTTACTGGCAGAGCATTGATATAAACAAAAAGCTTTTGGATGTTTTTATTTTTTTAAAGGTGAGGAGTTATTCTATGTTCCACACTCTCTTCATTTTCCAGTTGAGATTATGTCAAACATCAAATAAAAAAATTCACATTTCAAAGCACTCCATGGGACCTTTAAGGATATTTACTTATATTTTTGTGTGTATTTAACTAATATGTGAATATTTATAAACACACATCAAAGACCACGAAAAACCCCATAGACAAAGGTTTAAAGCAGGGGTCACCAATCTCTGTAATGGAGGGCCAGTGTCCATGCAGGGTTTAGCTCCAACTTGCCTCAACACACCTGCCTGGATGTTTTAAGTATACCAAGTAAGACCTTGATTAGCTTATTCAGGTGTGTTTGATTAGGGTTGGAGCTAAAATCTGCAGGTTGCCCTTCAGGAACAAGTTTGGTGACCACTGATTTAAAGTAAGAAAGAAATTCTTCTGGAGTTCTGGTGTACATCCCCAGGTTAAACAGGACTTGATCTTAATCTGTATGACATCACACTAATTAGGACCACCCCTAAGTACCTTAATGCACATCCATATAGATAGAGGAAGGGTCAGCAACGTGAGCAGGATGGAAAAAATCACCAAGATCCATCCACACAAACCAATGTCGCTGTCTGTGTTCTCCAAGGCTGAAAAGCAAAACAAATATGTATATAAATACACACATTATACCACCACAGAATAAAAATAAAGATATAAAAAAATACAACAAATGCATGTTACCCTCATAAAACTGAAAGTTAAATAAGTTCAAAGATGCAAAATCACAATATTGTAGCATCAAACTGAATTGCATGCATTAAAGTGCATTATCAGTATTGAAAAGATAAACAAGAAATCGTCATAATCACATTGATCAAATCAAGCCACGCAAGTGAATGCAAATGAATGCTTTCTTAGATTTTAAACAAATTTAACAAACAAAACTGCCATTAATTTGCTTATAAATGTCACCTACCTTGAGAATCATCAACTGTGTGACACCATTGATCTATAGAGAAACGTAACTGTAAGCTACTGTGTGTGTGGCCTATAAGACTATTAGGCTACAAGCCCTTCTTCTCTAATCAGGGATAAGACATGACCATTGGCAGACGCAAATACATCAAGAACAAATTACATTACTGCTGGGACAGTCGAAGGAAAGTAAGACTGAATGCTAGGATATGATCATTGAGCAGGACAATGATCACAGTAATTGTTGAATGATTAAATCATTTCTTCCTTGTACTTGCCTCACAGCTATTGCATTACAGCCGAGATCTTTGACCACAGGCCACATGATCTGAAGAAACTCCTGAACTAAATGCTTTTTGACAGGGTTCATTGTAAATCAAATCGCTTTCAAAAGACAGCAGAACTATACACAATACTGCTTACATTTATTTGATATATTAAATTGTCTTGTTGAATTTATTTGTTTATTTATTTATTTATTAATTTTGCCTGACCATGTCATGAATGTTTTTTTTAAATATGATTTACAGTATTTATAAAATGTCATTTAGCACAACAATTGTTTATATACAAAATAATCATGACAGACATATTTAGAATTAAAAACAATAGTCTAAATATAAAATATTATACTTTTAAAAAACTTGTTTTACAGATTTTAAATAATAAATACTACATTTTAATTTAAAATCATTGTTTTATGCCATAATTTGTCAGCCATACTGTATATTTTCAAAAACTTTAAATATACAAATTTTATAGGGCTGGGCGATTTGACCTAAAATCAAAATCTCGATTAATTGAACATTTAAACTCGATTACGGTAATTAAATTATTATTTTATTTATTTATTTATTTTTTGCCCTCATAGTTCACTGACAGGTTTTATACAGTAAATGTGCTCAGATATTACAAGTGAGAGATTTTTAAATGAAGGGTGCATTACTTTATATTAAAATAATTGAAGGAAACGCACACTATCTACTATCTATTATTTATTGAACATCAGGATTGAACAACTGAAATTAAAAGACGCATTGCCTAAAACAATCACTTTTTTGTAAAAAATTGAAAATAAACAACTTAAATTATGTTTTTTTTATATTAAAAGTACAAACTAAGCAGTATCTCTTCTAAATAAAATAACTCTTGTATGTCCTGTAAATAATAATCTAATCTGAATAATAATAATCTTCTGTAAACAAATATTTTAAAGTAAATAGTAATTTTGTTGAAATGGAAAAATATGCTGCCTCAAGATATCTCTGACACAGCTTCCAATCAACACCAATGTAATGCAAATGTAATGCTTGAAGGCTGCGCTGGACCATACGTGTGTGCTCGGCACAGAAGTATAAATCAGCTTCAATAGAGCAGGGTCACGTGATCACACATTGGAGGGAAAGTAATTGGAAAAAAATTGACCTGAACAAATTTGAGCGATTATGAATGTTTATTTTACTTACTTTTCAATTCATCGACCAGCCCTATTGTTTTATATATTTCAATAAGTACAGGGCAGAATAATTATGTTATTTAATTTTTAAATATATTGCAACATTGGAATTATTATATGGTTCTAAACAAGAAAAATGTTTTCTGTAACAACTTATTTATATTGAGTGATTTTATAGATTAAATATGCATTTGTTATTTATAAATGATGTAGACACTAAATTGAGAAGTCTCATCTTTGACCTGTAAATTAATTGATAGATTTTGATTGCTTCAAAATTGCTGCAAATGTTTTGCATAAAGTATTTTGTTCAGCACAAATAATGTGAATTTACCTTTTTTTTTACTATTATTACTACACCACACCTACCTTACAAAACCATACCACACTCGCACATGAAACAATACTATAGTTTTTAACCATAAAAAATAAACTGTATATCAGACAGTATATACAGTGCTCAACATAAATAAGTACACCCCTCACAAATCTCTCATTCAAATTAATATTTTCTATAGGATGCTTTACAATCTTATATTTGTGCATATTTATTAGGTTAGTCAGTGCTGAAGTTAAATCTGGAGCTTATATAACAAAAATAACTTACGATAACTGTCCAAAAACTAGTATACCCAAATTTATAAGTCAGAGAAAAATATTAAATACAAATTTTTAAAAGAGGAAAAATCAAAAGCAACAAGAAAGATATACAATTTTGTTGAAATTTTGTAGTTTATAATTTCTTTTGCAATATTTTGCATTATTTAAATGTATTATCTTTCCATTTCTAAATACGTACTGTGACTAAAATAATATTTTAATAAATATATCTGTTTAATAAATCTGTTTTGCTTAAGTGCACCAATATATATTACCCATATTCACTGAAAATGGACAAAAACATTCATTTTCAAAATTGGATATACTCATTTATGCTGAGCATAGTATTATAGTATTTACAACATTGGATTAATGAATGCTACATCATACCATAGTATTAACTTGTTTCTACTACAATAAAAGGGGTGAAATTAATGTTATTTTATAACCTATAGATGGAAAAAACTACAGTACAGGGTCATTTGTTTATATTACTATAGTTGTATTACCATATCAACTATAGAATCACCACAACTGATTAATTTAAGTACTAAACACTATTTACTAAATTACTATACATTACCATAGTATTTTTTCATATGGGTTACTACACACAATACTGCACCACAATAAACTACATAACTCCAAACATGTAACAACACTGTTCTATATTATATTAAGTATATTTTAAAATGATAATACCTTTATTATTTCTCGAGCTCAATTCAGAGTCTGGCAAAAACAAACAAAACACCAAATGATTGTTATGATTAAGAATGAAGTCCTTGTTCCATACCACAATGCTAGAAGACTCTTTTAAACGTTGTCAGGATATTATGAGGACCTGTTGTTGCTCAGATTGGCACAAGAGCATATGAAGACACACCCATGGTGCACTACCAATAATAAAAGACCTTAAAGAAAATAAATGCACCATTAACGCGCTTCTAATGTTTACATATTTATAAATGCATTTAAAATCTCTTTAAATACATGTAATATAGAAATATCTAGCATGGGTAAATCTTTTAAGGTCAAATGAATGTAGCGCATATCCACAACGGTGCAAACACGTGACATTAAATAATAACAATAGTTTTTAGCAGCAGACCTATTTGTCGCTTCCTCCGTTCTTCCTCTCTCATCGCAGCTGTTTCTCTGCCATCTTCCATGGTCGGTGTAATCTTTGAGTTATTCAGGCTGATACGGAGCAGATCTTGAATGCACTTCCAAGCAAAAGATCTTCTCTGTGATGTTTTTTTTCTACACGGGACAGATGATCGGGTTTCTGCGTGGAGTACAGCCCCCTCTCTCACTGGAAGAGGTTGGGCTGGAGTGGGCGGGCATTATTGTAGTCTCATAGAGATAACCTAGAAACGGAAGTATTTACCACAGAAATTCCAGATCATTTTACCCACGGGGGAGTTCATATAAAAATAACGTTTTAAGTTAAAGACCGTGTTCTTAATCGATGGTGCATGTTTCTTACTTAAAGGGATAGTCCAAAAATGAAAATGGCGTTATTTAATCACCCTTTACTTGTTACAAACTTTTTTTATTTCTTTATTTTTTCTTTCTCTCATTTGTTTCAGTTTTTTTTTTTTTTACAGTTTTATGTGTTTATAATATTATTTAACCTGATCTGTTAAGTTATTATCACTATTACTACCATTGTCCTTTTTGTGTAAGATTGGAATGTGTATGTTTGTTATTGAAGTAAAAAAAAAAAAAAAAAAAACTTGTTTCAAACTTATCAAGTTTCACTTTCTGTTGAACACAAAAGAATATATTTTGTAGAATGTTGGAAACCAGACTCTCATAGTAGTATTTTCCTATTATGGAAGTCAATAGCCCCTTTCACAAATACAGACCTTTCCGGAAAATTACCGTATATGTTTTTATATGTTTTCATCAAAGTTGTTCACAATACTGATCATCCACAGAGTTTGTAATGTAGTCAAATGTTTACAAATAAAAGCTCAGCCGTTTAAGGCTAATTTGTGGTGAATGATGTCAGAATTTACCGGTATTTTGGAATGGATAAGTGAACGGTCTTTTCTGGAAAAATTCCGTAACGTCCTCGCCTGTGTGAACAGCATTGACTAGCCTACTAATTTCCAATATTCCTCAGAAGATCCAAAAAAAAAAAGATGACTTTTTAAAGTGTGTAACCACATGAGGGCAAATAAACGGTAACGTTAAGTGAAAGTCAGTCTTAACTTTTTAAATTAAAAAAAGATTTAGTTTTTAAATAAACACAGTGAAGAAAACATGTTTGTGGTGTTTTTCCTGCTTAAACAAGGACACTATGCCTATATAAAATATCAATAAACAGTATAAGGTATTGCCATTGCAGATGGCTTGAGGCAACATGCATACTTCTGTTGTTGTTGTTGTTGTTGTTTATTCTTACTTTTTGATTATATATACGAGATGTCCAAACTAGGGCCCGTGGGCCAAAGTTGGCCCCTTTGATTTGGCCCACCATCTGACAGGGGAAAACGATATGATTTAGAGATAGTCATTTCAAATCTAATGTAACCTTTTGTTTATTTTAACATTAACTGAAATTAAATGTTTCAAATAAATATTGTAAATGAATCAATTTTAGTTCGAAATGTACCAGATGTAACCAGATGAATAGAGGACAATGCAGAGACTTTGGTGAGAAGGCAAAGGCTGATTCTGCTTGGCAATTGTGTATTCAGCATTGAACTCCACTGTACACTGTTATGTTTTATTGCAATAAGTTATAATAAAAATTATACCGCATTAAAGTAATCATTTTAATCATTTTTTTTTTTTTTGAAATATTAAGAATTAAATTAGGCAATTACCCATGGCAAATTTAATGTAATATAATTTGGGATATCCGGGCCACCGCTCCTAATGATAATTGGTTTTTGACCCTTTATACGAAAAAGTTTGGCCACCCGTGATAAATAATGTACGAAAACTACACTACCCATGAATCTACTAGGATTCTACTAGGAGAACTCTCCACCAATCAGAGAGTCGATTAAACCACCCGGCGCCATGAATACGTTAGCGCCCTCTCCTGAAGTAGAAAGTCTCATGAAGGTGATGTGAAAGCTGTCATTCTATGCTCTTAAAAGTCTTATATAACGATGTATATATTGCAACACACGTAAAATGTGTAGTTTAATATATACATATTTTAACATCTTCAAATCAATATACCCATCCCATCGTTTTTCACCAATCCATCGGCCAAAACAGTGGCTCTTTTTTACTGGGGTAAGGCCGTTTAAAATGTATTTGAATTCAGTGAAATAATGGATTATAGCTCGAATACTAGGTTCTCCGTGTTTGAAGTTATATATTTAAGATGTAAAACTATTTTCGCAGATAAAGTAATGATATACACTTCAGGAGATTTAATGTGGCTCAATGAACTATTTGACTTTCTGAGCCTCATAGCGCCCCCTAGGAGAAAACTAAGGTTGGAAAAAAATAATAGTCTTTGCTGTATTTGAAACAAAAGTTACTATTGCCATCTAGTGCTGTGGAATGGTGTTGCATATAGTACCTCTATTCACGCCCTTGATGATCTCCTAACTCATTGTTTAACAGACGCTTTAAGAAAGTGGACGTTAAAGGAAAAGTTTACACAGAAATTAATTAAATTCATTGTCATTATTTATGATAAAACAATGTATGTTCAGAACATCTATACTGGTGGCATTAAATTTGTGTCATTAGTAACAGAGCTTTGTAAAGTCTGACATGGGCTTTTCATTTACAGCTAACCACATTATAATGTTTTAATCCTTAAAAATATTGTTGACCAACAGAAGTTAAGCGGGGAAATGTAGGCAATTGTTGCCAATATTCATAAGAATATTGATCAGTTCAAATCAGTTCTATAGAAACATTGAACAGTGATAAATAAAATATAAGAATAAATATCAACAATTAAAATTAATTTGAAACTAATAATTGACAATTATCAAACCTAAAAACTTTTGAAAATGCAGCAATTCTCATAATAACATTTAAGGCCACATTGTGCTTTTGTAAGATATTTGTAGTAAAACAGAAAGAAAAAGAGTTTTAAAAAAGCAAATTAAATAAATCTTCAGTCTGTCAAAATTTGTACTTTTTTTCCTAGTGATCAATAATGTAATTGCCAATCATAAAAATACCATGTTTTATTTTTATTGGAAAGTGTGTGTTTGAAAGGGAGTGCTTCTAGTCTTTGCACTAATCCTTAATTAACATTTATTATTGGGTTTAAATTGTCATGGTTGTCTCAAATAATTGTGATTAGATCAAATAACCATGCTTAGCTGATTAAGCATATATTCAATGCGACATGCTTTGACTATTGATTAATCATAATATTATTAAATGGCACACATGGGTCTACGCACATATGTTTTTTATTAGAATCTTATCAATTTTCTTCATTATAATATTTAATGTTTCATAGTTTTATTTGAAATGTTCTATTTTGTGATTTCACTAGATGGGGACTGTAATGCGACTACTCAAATCTGCAGCTTTAATTCAAGATGTGTTAATTTGTATGTGGACCTAGAATGGGGTTTTAAGTCAGAAGATGTAGAAGTTGTGTCTACTCAAAGCTTTCAAATAACTTATAAAAATAATAAGTCAAAATTTGAGTGAAATAATGTTTATCATTCAGCATAACAGATATTTTTATGTACAAATGATCCAGATTGCTTATTCTAACTTAAATCTATTCAAATATGTTAAAAGTTACACATTATAATATTTAATGTTTCATAGATCCATTTGAAATGTATACTCTGAAGAGATGACCAAAGTACAAAGTTTGTCTCTTTGCTCCTGTGAGTTTAATTTATTGTTAGTTTAAAATTAGGGTTAGTGTTAGGCATGGGATGATAACCGGTTTCAAGGTTTACCCCCATGTTTGGAAAATTCAAAGTTTTAAAACCGCTTAAATTTTCTGTTATATCTTTCCTAAGGTTTATTTAAGGTTTTTTTATGTGTTTTTAATGTGTTGTAAAGGAATCTGTGCTTTTAAAACTATTGAAGACAGCAGAAGTAAATTATTTATTTTAATTATTTAGCCTGACACGTTTACTAGGGAAGCTCTGATCAATCGGCTGGAAGATTGGTATCAGCCGATAATCACATTTTATAACTTGAACGGTACTCGTAGGTGTTAGTTTATGAATTTACACACAGAGGAAACACCTGTGCTAGTTGGAGAGAAAAATATTGGAATGGATTTGCATGTATTTAGGCCTTTTTACATATATTAAAACTGAAAGTTCTGTGTTTTTGACAATATTGCAAGTTCACTAAAATCTGGCTCAACATTTTAGTGAAATAAAAACAATATACCTTTTGTTATATACTTACTGCAATAAACATTGGTTTATTGCAATCGGTTTCCTCAAATGGTTTGAGTTACCTCGACTTTTTGGGTTTTACATTATTAAAGCATCAGAATCGGTACTCAGTATCAGCTGATCATCATGACAAGGAATTGGTACTTGATATTGGCTGCAAAAACCGTGATCGGAGCATCCCTAATGTTTACTGTTCCAAAATATAAAAAATGTTTCCTAAAATAAAATACATTGTGTTAAATGGGGTGCTAAAAATATCGGCCCATGCCTAATAGTGGTAATTTGTGTTAGGTGTAATTAGATTACAAAGTAACCATTGTAATTAGATTGCTTTAAAAAAAAGTTAGGGATTACTTTTCTATTTTATTTCATTAATTAAAATATATTTGCCTTAAATACTGTAAATAAACTCAAGAGTTCTGGATTAATCAGTTCAGAGAAGCAGAGTTAAAGAATTAAAATTTGCAGAATAATTATATTTTTCTGCTGAAGTTTATCAAGACAATTAAACATGCTTAAGATATAATGATTTGAGTCAGAAATGAATGACATGTATATACAGTGCTCAGCATAAGTACACCCCTCTCAAGTCTATCTTTTAAATTCATATTTTTAATAGGAAGCTATACAATATTATATTTGTGCATGTACATTAGATTACTCATTACTGAAGCTAAATCTGGAGCTTATCTAACAAAATATCTTGCGATTAATGGCCCAAAAACTAGTGTACCCACATTTACTGTATATGTTATAGAAAAATATGAAATACAAAATTTTAAAAGAGCAAAAATCAAGAGAAGCAAAAAAAAAGAGAAAAATTTACTTGAAATTTTGTAGGTTGTAATTTAATTTTTGCAATATTTTGCTTGAATTTAATTGTGTTATCTTTCAATTTCTAAACATGTTTGGTGACTAAAATATAAT